AATCAATTCTAAATACCGTACTGTTTGAGGTGATGCGAATCAAACGTCGATAATAATAATTTAAGTTCCTTGTATAAATTCAAATTAGTTCTCAATATATTCCATAAACTTATATTTAGTGAACTAACGTTATCATACATTGTCAGAGAAACAATAAAGTCATACTGAATTGACTGTGATTTGTTTTAATCCCCCTACCTTTGAAGTGTACCTTTGTGTGTGCGATTGCTTGGAAAGATGGAAAGGACATCGATTACGTTCCCCATATAATTTCATATACAGGATGCTACAAATTCGAGGTACGAGCATTGGTATATCGGTAACCGTAATAGATACGAACATGGTTAAATTGGGGCAAAGTTGCGCTTTGGGATGGTCTCCTGAGTACAATGATATGCCACACTTGATACTTTTTTTGTTTTGGGTACCTTAACAGTAACAAAACTATTTAACTGTTATTTAAAATAATTGGAAATTCGACTTTAGTTTTTTATTTTATTTAATTTGAACAAGGAAACATTGAACATTGAACAATTTTAACATTGAATAAGGAAAATCGAGCCAATTGGAAGATTCAAATAAATAATATCCAGGTCAGCAATTTAAAGATAATATATTTAACTTTTTTTATTGTGAATTTGAAATCTCAGTGTGCGATCTAATAATATGCATAATATTAATCGTAGGTATTATAAATAAATCTACTTCTACAAAGTAGTTGCTAATGCTCTACATGTTCGAAAGGGTTACCACCCTCCCTATTGTACAAATTTATTTTTCGTTCAATTTTATTTATAGGTCTTCTGAACATTCTTCTTATACTTCCGAATGCATTTTGTACTATTTATTGCAAATATTAAGATGTATTGATTTCACTGATACAAATGAAATCAAGTAATGTACCTCCCCCCTCCCACCCCATGGCGGCATTTCCAGGAACCTCGCTGACCATTATACCGGTCACTGGTCTACCATTTCGAATCCATCTTCCGGGGAAATTATTTGATTGTTTATATTATATTTATATTATTTTATTGCATTTGTGTGTGATTTTCCGTATTCAATGTTTTACCCCACGTCATTGTTAAGTTTGAAAGCTTATCAATATTGTAATGATGAATAGATTAAATATTTAAAAAAAAACAGAGCCGAACTTGAAATTAGCTTAAATAAATTGTGTTCAAATGTCCGAAACAAAAAAAAAATATTAAGTGTGACATATTGTACTCAGGAGACCGAGTTCTTTCAAAATATGAAATAAAAAATGCAGGTCCTGCATTAAAAAAAATTAAGTTGGCCTCTGTATCACAAATTATCAACTAATTTGAAAATCTAAAAATACTAAAATACTGTCAGATAGTCCTAATAAAGTGGTTATGAGAACGTGCAATTAGTTTTTTGATTTTCAAAAAAGTAACGACAGGAAAAAATAAAATTGATTTTCAAATCCGTTTTTTCCAAAAAACTCAGCAATCCTTGAAATTTTTAAAACTTTTTTAATGGCATCTTGGTGAACATCCCAAAGTAGAGGTGGGAACTCTAGTTCCTGGGGAGGAACTAGTTCCTTAGTTCTAGTTCCTCGAGAGGAATAGTTCCTTGAACTAGGTCTTTAGTTCACAATAGTTCCCGACTAACATTGACATCCCCCTTGCTTGCTAATGCGTTTCGTTGTCAGTCAGAACTATGCACAGTATGACCTGTAGAATTTTTATAATGTACGGAGATATAACGAGACGTGTAATTGTGTATGTTGAAAACATATATAGGGAAGTTGGAACAACTTTTGTTGCACGTCATCAATGACACCATGCGTCGTCTTATGGAGTTTGCTGGTGGTCGTATTATGATGTGCAACGAAAGTTATTTTAATTTCCCTTATAGGTAAGTTTTATTGCAGATAAAAAATATAAAAAAGAAACTCAAATCAGAGTTTAAAAAACTATATCACAAATCAATTAGAGCAAATATTACAAAAATTTTACGAAAAATTGCATTTTTCCTCACTAAAAATTCAGAATATCTACTTCGTTTTATAAGATATTTCTTAGTTTTAGGGACCTAAAGTGAAACATTCCCGTAAATTATTTAAAAAACAAACTAAAAATAAAAAACAGTATCCACGACAATTTTCTGTGGTAATTACGCCGCGCCGGCTGCGGCTGTGGCAATAGACAAGGCCGAATCCATCGTCGTCGCCTTGTATTATATCTCGGATCTGCCGACTGAATAGATTCCCGTGAACTAGTCTTTTAATAGTTCCTCTATGTCCGGATCCGATAACATACGGCTGGCACTCCCCACGCCTGCCTAGCATCAATCGCGCTGGCTGATCCATACGTAAACTAGTCTTTTATTTAGTTCCTGTAGTTTCTTTAGGTCCGGATCCGATAACATACGGCATATGGCTGGCACTCCCCACTCCTGCCTAGCATCGATCGCGCTGGCCCGATTCGTACGTACGTAAACTAGTCTTATTTAGTTTAGTTCTTCTAGGTCCGGATCCGATAACGTGCGGCTGGCACTCCCCAGTCCTGCCTACAATCGGGCTATGCGCGCTAGCCGATCCGTCGCCGCCGCATATCATTCTATATCGGTCACAGTCTCGATCCCGGAATAGATCCTGAGGAACTAGTTCTTTGAGAAACCAGGAACTAGTTCCTTTCATTCCGGGGTCGGAATAGTTCATTGGAACTAGTTCGTTCACGAACTACACACCTCTGTCCCAAAGCGCAACTTTGCCCCAATTTAACCATGTTCGTATTTATTATTACGGTTACTGATATACCAATGCTCGTATCTCGAATTTGTAGCACCCTGGCACCCTGTAGATATGTCGCAGGCGTATAAAGCGGCCCATACATTATCAAACGAATTGCGCAACGCAGGCTGTTGCGCAACGAGTTGCCAATGTATGATAGTGTTTGATGCGTTGCGCAATTGTTTGATGAGTTTCAAGAATATTTGAATTCTTTTGTGCAACAGGACTGTTTGCGCAACGCGTTGTGTAGTGTATGTGTGTGTTGCGCTTCGTTGTGCAATATTTTAGTTCTTTCATCCAAATTCTTTGTTTTCTTTTTCATTTTTTGGTATCATCGACATCATCTAGGGTATATAAGATAATAATTGACGCAATGGCAATTGAGGACATGATTGTTTCTCAAACAATGCACAACTTTTAATAAAAAGTTTGATCATAATTTTACTAAGTGCATGGGTGAGGCAGTTGTGCAACGGAACGTTGCGCATCGCCTTGTTGCGCAACTTGTTTGATAGTGTATGGACCGCTGAATCAGTTGTGCAACGCAACGTTGCGTATCGCTTCGTTGCGCAATTTGTTTGATAATGTATGGGCCGCTTAAAATCCGGCTTTTTGCAAAAAGACTAGGCATATTATAAAATGCTTACGGCTTTTTAAACAAAAAAAAGAATTTTTACAAAAAGCCTATTTTCAGTCACTTTGCAAAAAGCCTAATCAGAATTAGGCTATGAAACAATGACAATATTTATTATTCGGTAGAAAGGTAGATACGTATTACGTAGAAACCTGTTGTTAGAAGTAAAGAAAATTAATTTGCCGTAATTGATTCTTTTATAGAAAATCCATATATCTACAAGTCATCGTAAAATAAATCAAAGAACTACTTCTTCGTTTTCTTGATAGAATAATAAATATATATTTAATAAACTATTGTAGGTAAATTAAATAAAAGTAAAGTGGTATAAATTTTAATAGAGTTCATGAACTAATTTCGATTTTGAGAAAATAGCTACTGACTGTCTCTAGAAACTTCTCATGACTACACTAACCCTCTTGAGCTAGATAGGTATAGGAAACCATAATATAGTTTGAAAGAGCATTTGAATTTGCTTCGATTTATTTAAAAAATGCAAGGTGTTGTATTTGAATTAACGAAGTTTTTATGTAAAATAAATATTTAAAATAGACCATCGATTTTTGATACCCCTGTATACATTAAACGAAGCAATCAAATTTTTCAGTAAAGTTTATTTCTTTGGCTTTAAAGTCAGCCCAAGAATTAATTCTAAAACTAAAAAGCAATGTTTAGGGTGTTGACAATCTTTTATTATAGCATGCATATTTAAATATCTCAAAAATCAAACCTTGCAAACATATTTAACCCTTAACCCTTATAATAAATGCCTTATTTTTTGTCCAAGGATCCAAATCTGGCGTCTAAATGCAAATTCGTTATCCCAAGAGAAACTCAATGAATTACATTTTTATGCAAGATATATTCAAGAAATAATGCATCAGATAAATTCAGTGGTTTAGATTTATTCTATTTAATATTCATAATATTTTAAATCATTTTTTGTGTATTCTGTAAAATTTATTTCAATAGACTTGTCGGGTTTTGCATTTAGACGCCTGAAATATAAAATAATATACCGGGTGTTCCATAAGAAAAAAATATATCTTTGGTGTGGTTCTTAGTTCTGACATATCTTATACATTTCAAAATTATTTTAAATTATGCCATATTGCCTTTCCACATATACCCATAAAATATTTTGTTTCTACATCTTTCCGTTTTCGTATAATCAACCGAGGCGAATGAGGAGCGCCACCCTGTATATAAACGTCAGCGATCTTCATTTCCAAGTCGAGGTCCGCGCCATTTAACCAATTGGAAAATAGAATTTTTCTATTGGTCCAATTCACTCTCTAAAACAAGGATAAACTTATGTACCCAAACCATACAAACTTCCTTTTTTCTGCTTAAATACTGGAACATAAATCCTCTCATTGCTTGTTATGGGAAGGCTGCAGTATATTCGTTTATATGTATATGATTAACAACATAAATACATAACAGTGACAGTTGTCTGTCATCTGAGTTCAGATAATTTGTATTGTCTTGTCTTTCTTGGATGTTTGTCGAATCTTCCCCGACTCCTAGAGAGACTTTACGAGTATCTGCACAATAGTTTCAATAGCACATATTCTTAGGTAAAGTTAAATAAAAAGGCTAATATTGCATCTAGTTTTATTCTATTTTTTAATGGCAATACGTATGTACAATAAAAAAATCTGAATTAGAGGAGTTAAATTATTGCAACATTATTTCACACCTAATTAAACCGTTTACAATTAGTGTTCAATTCATTCCCTCTAGTTTTATAAGTTAGCAGAAAAATAAACATAAAAACATTTCTGAATAATATATATTTTTGTCTGTTAATAAAAATATGAATCTGTGATAGTGAAAATATTAACAACTTAGTAGAAACCTTTAATTTTTAAAAAATAAATAAATAAAATTATATTACACGCCTTTAGAAATCCTCTTGATATCAACCCATGAATAATAAAATAACTGAAAATTTTAATATGTTTTTATATACAGTATGTCCAAGAATTTTTTACACATATGGAAAAAATTGTAATTCAAATATTCTTGATAAAAGTCTGCATCCTGTCAATCTCCAAATAAGCCTAAATATTTTACCAAATGTGGATCAATATTCTTGGACACACTGTATGTATTTATAAACAGGGAGGGTTTCTAAAAGTGTTTTTTTACTCCAACAATAAAGTACAGACCTAAATATTTAAAAAAAGTATCAACAAAAATTATTCAAAAAAATGAACGCCGTTTATGTCTTCTGAAATGAAAACGCTGCCATGTCTAAACACAGACCTGGTCATCATATATCGGTAGTTTGGATTTTAACGTGGAATAACCTAATGAAAATTCAAACATGTCAAAAAGAGACCAAAAATGGGCTGATACATTTGTTCTAAGCGGTTTTAAGATACCTCACATCATTTTCTTTTATTTGTGTGTCCGCTTAATTCTATTTTTATTTTATACTTCGCTAATTTTTAAACACACCTACAGCCCGAAGTAGCTGGCAACACTGTATTTCTTTGTGTCTCTGTTATCAGTTGGTTATAACAAAAGCCTAACTGCCCTTATCTTTATCTTTATCATTAAAATACAGACCAGTGATTTTGAAAAAAAAGAAGAAAACATCACACAGACTGATATTAAGCAAACGCTTACCAAGGCACGAGCATTTGGGATGAGATAAAAAAAGGCGTCAGCGTTTGCCATGAACTGAAGATCGCTGTCATCGATCGTCATTTCCGAGCCCACTGGACGCCGTTTCTTTTTCGAGCATACCTACGGTATATGCTTTATATTATAAAGCTTAAATATTTATTTAAGCCTGCTTTAAACTATTGTCTATTTAACGAGGGGATGCCTGACAATGACAGTTGCCTGTCATTTGAATTCACAGGTAAGTTGTATTTTCTCTCATGTTTTTGGATGTCGTCTGTCGAAATGTTCCCCGACTCGTTGGACAGACTATAACATCAGTGTATTATATTCAAAATATTAGAACCCAGGATTGTGTTGTATAAAAATAGTCGGTTTACATATAGTTTTAGTCCTATCTATCCTGAACATTAACCTACGGAGGAATAAGAGACGAAAGACTATACATATTCCTGTAGGATAATAATAAACCAAACCAAACCATAATGTCATAATATCCTGGCTGTATTTTGAAAGTATGACCATTTCTAGATGTTTTTTCGGGTTACAAAATGCCCATATACAATAAAAAAAATCTTAAAGGTAAAATGCCGTATATTTGACCATAACATTTTGGTCACATGGTAGACAAATATGCTGAAAAATTTTTAGTAACTTATTTCATTAAATTTTTTTTTAAATTATGTTTGCTAATAAATTAAATTCTTATTTTCCTTGTAAATGTAACATGACAACTAAACAACCCTATGTGACAAAATATAGGCCTTAACGTGTGTTTGCATTTTCTAGTCTTACTTTCTATCACAAAAAAATATAATATACAAATTACAGTACGAATCAATATTGCCAATGACTAACTACTTTGACTTTTGAAAAAACTACATTTTTAAAGGATTGTTACCAATTTCTTTCTTTTTCTATTCAAGTCTGTACTAATATTTACATCTTGAGTTTTTAAGTTTACACTGTACCATGGCGTATACTAGAAATATAATTTATTAAAAAACCTACTATTAATCCAATTCTGTGTTTTCGATTAATTTCCGTGACGTTGATGCTTGAGCTGCCGAACTATTTTCATCATCACTGTCATCTTCTAAACCTCCTGAAAAAAGCAATGGTTTTATATCCTTTATATTAAAAAAAAAATCAGTATTATACCGGGGGTTTTTCAAAAATAGTTCACAACTATGCAACATATTTTTTTCTAATTAATTTAAATAGGTTGATTTTTTGTTTTCAGACACAGATTAACTTTTCAATCTGCATTTTAGTCATACTTCATAAAAAAAAACACCTAAATTTAAATTCCTCAAAATAAGTAATTTATTATTTTGAATTATATATCTACATCAACTTACCCAGAAAACTTTCTATTAAATTTCCAAAAATTCCACCAGGTTTCTTTTCTTCTTGAGGCTTAAGACCAAAAAATATTTGCGCTATCTTATCCAGATACTTAACGTAACAAGGATCCCTTTTGATCGAATTCCGATATTGCTCACATAGAACGGCAAAGGTTTGTATTTTCTTACTAAAAACAATAAGCAAGGGATCTAAACAACATATTTTCATTCATAGCTATAGTTTCAGTGTTGCCATAAGATGGTTTAATACTTGTGACAGTCACTTTTATCGATATCTTTCTGTAAACCAAAATATAAATTTCTAGTTCTATTTTTTTTTGTTTCTTATATTAAGACAAATTTACCTTTCTATGGCCTGTAACAAAAACCAGATAAAGTTCAATAAAGGTAATAGAAAAGGTGGACCAGTCTTCTTTATTCTCGGATGGTTCTCTGTATAAGTTGTAAACGTTTGATTAGCAGTTATTCGATTTCTTAAACACAGTAACTGCAACACAGTCTGCGCTATAAACAGGTCAGTTTCATATTTGTAGCCTTTGGTCAAATGAAACTCAATTAACAGTTCTGCACAACCTTTCCCGTCTTGCGAATGGATATAATGGTGTCTGGCCTGGACATAGTTCTGTTCATCCCAATAAATCTTTGCTATGTGCTACAAATACATAATATTTTCATGTAATTTAAGTATTTGTTTTGATAATTATATAAGCAAACCTGGTGCAGTAAAGGATGACCATGTGAAGTACCTTGTGCTGACCATTTTACTGCCTGAGCTAAAAATGCATCTCTTTCTGTATCATTATCAGTTCCAATTTTTGAAAATATTATCGATAATTTTGGTGACCACAAAATGCAATCTTGCTCCTTTGATTTATTGAGGACATCTATCAGTAATAAACCAAGATCAGTTCCTGAAGTTTTCTAAAATGTAAATTAATAATAATTAATCATATGTGGCACACACAGATTAAACATAAAGAATATTCTAGAAATTCTGTCTCATAGTCTCTTGTATATTATATATTCTCAATATACAAGGGTGTAACTTACTTGATCCGAGTCTAGGAATAAAACTGAGCCTTGATAAAGCATATCTTTTAATTCCTTATACCTTTCTTGGCCTAAATACCTGAAAAATTAGGGGTTAAAGCATAAATTAAAAATGATTGTATATGTTAGATCTTTAATGAGTACCTAAAACATACAGTACGGTACATTTGATGAGCTTCGTAGTAATCTCCATTTTTAAGGGATTTATCTAGTTTTTCCAAAACTCTGGAAACTCCTCGAGAACTTGAAGTAGCCATGTTTATTTATACTTTGTCAGATTTTAAATTTTTAAGTTGTCAGATTGTCAAGTTAATGTCAAATAGACGTCAAAATAAAATGTCAATAATTAGGGACCTTCTAGCTAGGTGCCAAATATTAATGCGTTAACGTTAAAACTTTAGATATTATTTTTAAAGTGATTTTTTCAATATAATTGGAGTATTTTTTAAACGTAAAAATTATTTTGAGAATTATGATATCTTTATTTGATAATGTTTTTTATATAATAATTTTAAATAGAAATTTTGAAATAGTTGGAAAATGCAATTGATATTAATTGGCCAGGATATAATTTTGAATATAACATAACACATAACATCTGTTATAAATACATTATTCCCGTTATTCTCTATTGGAAAATAGTGCAAAAGATAAAATAATAGATAGTTGTGATTATCTTTTAAAAATAACTTTTATATGTATATTTCAAACATTTGCAAAAACCTATAAAATTTGTAATAAGTTTTCTGATTTGCTCTTTTTATACAAGTTTTCAAACTGGTAAATGTTTTTATGATATTTTTCTTTTCTGAATTTAAAACTTTAAAATATTTTTTTTGTTTATTCATTGATGATTTATCGATTTGAAATAACGTTAAAGCCCAAATGTCATTGTCATATTAGACTCTCGTTGACAGATGGCGAAAGGAGTTGCAAATTATACAAAACCGGGTCCGCCATTATTGCCTGTCGGCTGCTTTTGTGATTCTTCATGAAATATTTTTCCAAAATATCGTCGCATGTGGAATTTGTGCCATAAAAATATAGGTGCGTTTCAATATCACGTTGATGCGTAACGTTAAAAAGTGGTGCTGAATGGTTTGTAGTGTGCCTATGTGGTGAATCGACCAAGTGGTGTTCGCTTTTCAAACATCGATTTCAGTTTATAATGGCTTACGAGCTGTACTTTTAATTTTCATTCGGCATGTATTTGTTGTATTTTCGTAAATTGCCATGCTAATCCCCATTTAACTGTAAGTGAAAAGCTTGTTTTTTGTAGCTGCGAAAGGTGATACGTCGTCAGAAAATATTTTCTCTTTGGTTTAAGCTCTTTAAAAATCGCTGTTATATGCATTTCTTCAGATATTTCATACATAATTTATTTATCACCTTTCGGATTATTGAATTGAAGTTTTTATAATTCATTGTCAAGTTTATAGGATTTTTTAAAAGTAGTTTCATCTATAAAATGGTCATAACTGTTAACATATTTCCTTTTAATTCTGAATTGGGTACATCATTTTCTGTATGAAATTGAAAGAGAAAGACTTATTTAAATACTACAGTTCAATCAAAGAGATCTATTGAAATATAAGTACCACATTTTTTTATGATATTTATAATTTTTTGTTATTTTTATTTAACTACAATATTTTTTTGTCTTTAAGTGTTATAAAACTGCAATTTTTATACAGCATTTAATTTTTGAAAGGATTATTTACTCTTTGTATCTTTGACATTTTCTATTTAAGTTGTAGGTATTTTATTTAATAACTACTATAGTATAAATGGCATGCATATCCTGATGAATAAGCAACTACAAGAATGAGTAATAATCAAGTGTTAAAACATTTAATACATCTTTACTCATTGTTTCATTTTCATCTTATAAGTTCTCTTTATAATTTTGTGTTAAAAAATATGAGCTGTTTTGAGTGGAATTAGTGTAAGCTTAGGTCAAATTTTTAAATTAAAATTTTTAAGTAAATCCTTACATTCTTTTTAGAATTTAGAGTAAAACTATATCCTATTCATCAATCATAGATTGATACAGTCAGTCCAATAAGAGAAGGTAAGATTTGGACAGATCAGATACAAAAAAAAGAGCATATAAATCTCCTTTTGAATCATGAAAGACATCTGTCACTGTCATACCTTCTCTTGTTAAATTGACTATATATCTAGCCTTTTTTGCTCTATAATCTGTCCAACGAGAAGATACATGACAGTGACAGTTGTGTCTGTCATTTTAATTCACATGTAAACTGTATTTTCTGTCATTTTTTGCATGTCTTCTGTCGAAATCTTCCCTGACTCGTTTGACAGGTTATAGATGATAGAATAATATTCTATTGGTAGTATTGTGAAGTTTTTACAATAAACTACTATATTTTTTTCAGGTTTATAGGTATGCTACAGGAATAATTGTAGTGATATTGTGTCAAATAGGAGTGATATAAAGAAACATATTCTTTGATGAAAGACTTTTACCATCTGTGTTAGAATGCAGCCAGATTAGATTTTGAAAGACTTAAAAATTAGTTTCTGGTGTGTTTTACTCATTAATTCAAGATGTCTGGTGGAGGACCGCCTCATCAGCCTCATAATAGGCATGTTCCACCAGCTAATATGGCTTGGAATCATTTACAGGTAATTTAAACAAATATTTGACACTGGTGCTTGTCAGATATAACACCCTCCGAATTTTGTACTTTTTTTTATATCACTCGAAAGCCTACATCGAAATAAGTATTTCAAGCCAAAAAAAAGTGTGGATGATCCATAATTTAATGAAAAAATAAACATCTAATTATTGTTACAACAGGCTACTTTATATGCGAAAACTCCTCCAAATTTTGTCGGCGTTGCCAGATTCATTCATTTCTTCTTGAAAGGTTCATTGAAAAAACACGTGCTAAGAAAACTCGCGTTTAGAACAGATTATAAATTATTTTAAAATCAAGAAAAGGCGATCGCCTGAGGAACTGCTCCTACCCATAGCTGATAATTTGCCTACGAGATCTGACTATTTATAACTACGAGTACAAAGTTGCACGAAAGAGTTTTGATTGCGTTGGTTTCAACTTCTTTGGGGGTTAATCTGTTGTTTTTTTATATTTTAATACGAATCTGAGTGCTTTCAATGTCTTGATTTTAAAATAACTTATAATCTGTTCTTATCGTGACAGCGCTACTGTATAAGGATTTGTTCGTCCGGCGACCGGCACGTAAAATCAAGTGAAAGCAATTAGATTCGTATTAAAATAAAAAAAAAAAAACATAACAAAAGATTAACACCCTCACGAAAAGGTTGAAACCAGCGCAATCAAAACTCTTTCAGTTTCAACTCTTTTTTTGTATCATGTAACGTACCGTATGATCGAAAAAAAACGGCGTCAGCCATGGCTATGAAATTTAATACATTATTACATCGCTGTCATTTTATATGTAAAATTATATGGGGAATGTCATCGATCGTCATTTCCAAGCCAACTGGACGCCGTTTTTTTTCGATCATACGGTATTATGTATCATACAAACAAGAAATAACTTTGGCAACAATGCTTACGCAGCTTACATCCTTAAACAACTTAACAACAAATGGTGACAGACGGCTCCGGCGGCAAGTTTAAATCGAAAGAGTAAATCGATCAGGCAAATATTACAAAAAATATCACCAACTCTATTTTTGATATATGACTTATTAATACTTCTCAATGATTAATTCTGACCTTTATATTAATAAAAAAATGCATATAATCGTCATATTTTACAATAATTACACGCTTATACAACTTCACCATAACCTAAAAATGCACTTTTAATTTATTTATTTTTCAATAAATTGTGGTTCATCCGCAATTTTTTTTTGCTTAAAATTCTTATTTAAGTGTATGCTTTCGACTGATATATAAATAAATGCCAAATTCGGAGGGTGTTATATCTGACAAGCACCGATAAAATTTATTAATTGAAGTGTTTTTTTTATTGAATTAGGTATAATGAAAAAAAAACCTGAAAAATAAAAAATTACAATATTTTATGTAGGTACATACAGGGTGTCCCAGGCTGAGTGTGCATTAGAAGTTTCTAGAGAACCACAATATCTAGATCGGAGATTTTTTGCACATCATTGTTTTACAAGGAGATCTATCGATTAAAAATATTTTCAATATGGCGGCAGTTCCGGAAATGTCGGAAGTTGACAGCAACTTTCTTATTTTAAGGCATATTTTCGCGAGATCTCATCTTAAGACTTGTCTTTAAGCGCCTTAAAGAACTACGTCATTAATTTTCCAAACGCAAAAATGTACGTCTTTTAAGCGTGACGTTTTTCTCAAAGGATTGACGTTGAATCTGTGGTTGGATGTTAGGTTAGGGAGTTATTGTTGTTGGTCTGTGGAGTTATTCTTGAGCTTGAGCGTGGCTTTGAGTTTATTTCGTGGTTTATTTTGTGGAAAATATTTTTGAAAAGTAGGTACTATTCTTAAAGAAAATTATTAATTATTACCTTTTCCGAAATGGGTCCAGTAAAAACGAAAATTTTGATAAACGATTTTTCAAATGATATGTTGGCTATGCTATTATGTTTATTTCTAAGAAGGAGGCCTACATTATTTAGTGCCTTTATGTATATTTTGTGTTTTGAAAGAAACAACCACATACGATCCATATATAGTGAAAATTGGATTTTCCGATACAAAAATGCAGACTTTTATATGCATTTTCGCTTGACAAGAGATACCTTCCACAAGCTAGTGGGTGTGGTGCAATGCCCTGAATTTAGTAAAGCTTATCAAGGAGGTGGGGTACCTTTGAATTGTGAAAAAGTGCTTCTTATGACACTATGGTTGTTAGGAAAAGGAGACTCCTTAGTCTCTATTGGAGACAGATTTGATGTTGCAACGTCAACAGTTCATTATTATGTTAATATAATGATAGGAAGACTGGTAGAATTGGTACCTAAGTATATACAGTGGCCGAATGCCCAAGAAATTGTAACAATTGAGAGACAATTTTATGAAATATGTGGCTATCCGGGTAATTTCTGAACCAAGTTTGTTTATAAGTATGCCTAATGAAATGAAATCATTGCATTTCAGGTGTTATTGGTGCTATTGACGGATGTTGTGTAAATTTTAAGGCACCACTGAATCAACAGGACAGCTATATCGATAAAAATGACAAACATAGCATCAAGATTCAAGCTGTATCAACAGCAACAAGGATATTTACCAATATAAATGTTGGATTTCCTGGCTCTGTTCACGACAGTAGAGTAAGTTACTTCAAATGTACTTATTGTGACTAAATTAGCTATTGTATGTAACAAAAACTAATTATACATAATTGTGCAATATCATATTAGATATGAAGCTATTTCAAAAATTAGTGTTAACAAAGTAAAATAGATAACTCTACTGTTGGTGCCACAGTGTTTATGAATTTTATTTTAACTTCAGATATTGCATAACAGTCAACTATATAGAGATACAGGACTAAATTTGTTAAAGTATTTTCCAAGTGAACAATATCATCTATTAGGCGATAAGGCATACCCTATATTGGAGTGGTTAATAACACCATTTAAGTATGTAGAATAAGGCAAAATTATATATATTTTTTTTTAATATTGCAAGTGATGTAATAATAATCTAGTTACATCTTACATTAGTGAAAATTTGTTATCACTACTTTAATTATTTACTCACTTAATATGCTCTCTCTTTATTAGGGATTATGGCAATTTAACAAGAAGACAAAAGATTCACAATTATAAACACAGTAAAACGAGAATTCGTGTGGAGCATACATTTGGTATATGGAAGTCTAGATGGCGAATTTTAAGGTACATCAATGTAAACTGCCCAAAAAAGGCTGCTAAAATAATCGCTGCTTGCTGCGTGCTTCATAATTTCTGTTACCAAAATTATGATGAATGGAATGATGAAATAAGTGATGTCCTTGAAGACGGCAATGATAATGTTGAAGCATTACATATTAATAATGAAAATATTGGTATTCGCAAAAGAGAAAATATTGCTAACTCCTTTATATAAATTTTAGTAAATCAATATAAATGTTAATATACACATTATGTAGTTTGAGAAATGATGAAATTAAAAATAAAGAAAAAACAAATCAAGTAAGACCATTTTTATTAATAAATTCAAATTTTTAAAAATATTATACAGGATGGCCCATTAGTGCGAGGAAGTCAATGATATCGTTGTTGTTGACAAAGATATGAAAAAATTCTATAAAGATATTGAATAGTTTATAATCGTGCATATCCTAAAAATATTTTGTAGTATAGAGGGTGTCCAAAAAAATTATGATAAAGTTTTAAGTTTTTTTTTAAATTGTAGCCCCACTTTTCCGTACATAATTGGATTCAGCATAAAATACTGCATAATAGTACACTCTTTTTATTTTTTGAAAGAAACAACCACATACAATCCATATTCCATATATAATGAAAATTGGATATCCGATACAAAAATGTAGACTTTTACATGCATTTTCGGATGACCAGAGCTTTCTGATTCATCAGATACTTTCCACAAGCTAGTGGGTGTGGTTCAATGCCCTGAACTTAATAAAACTTATCATGGAGGTGGGGTACCTTTAAATTGTGAAAAAGTGCTTCTTATGACACTATGGTGGTTAGGAAAAGGGGACTCCTTAGTCTCTATTGGAGACAGATTTGACGTTGCAACGTCAACAGTTCATTATTATGTTAATATAATGATAGGAAGATTGGTAGAATTGGTACCTAAGTACATACAGTGGCCGAATGCCCAAGAAATTGTAACAATTGAGAGACAATTTTTTTAAATATGTAGCTATCCAGGTATTCTGCACAATAGAGTACACTATTTATTTGAAGCACTATGCGGTGTTACCATTTTATTTCGTACTAAAACTTTGGCTAAAAACACTATATAAGTGTTTAAAACTGTAGTAAATATAACTTTATAATACTTACTTTTAAAAATACCAAGAATACATCCCTGCTAGAAATCTCACATTATCTTATACTGCATATTTTTTATACAAACCATTGCAGTATGTAGAATGCTATATCTCAATTTTTTTATATGCAACACCATGTAATATAATTTTTCTTTTAGATGCAGAATTAAAACACGGACATTGTATGTTTTTTACACTTTCGCAGATATTTGTAGTATATTGAAAATGGCTCTTTCAGTAGTTAACTATAAGGCAAAAAATCACAAGGTGGCTCTGATCAAAATTTACTATTGAAAGAGCCATATGTAATATAATAATTAAACATTCTCTCTAATATAATAATGGTAATAACTGCTAAACCATTAAAAATTAGGAGAAAAATTATTACACTTTAAATATAAAAAATGTTCATTTTATAATTCTGCATCTAAAAGAAGAAATAATATACAGGGTGTTGCATTTCAAAAAATGGAGATATAGTATTTTAAATGTTCTTAACACTATAAAATTTACCATGTATAAGATCATGTAAATTTTCCCTCGCGGGTTTATTAAAATATAGCTAAGTATTAATAAAGTTAAATTCATTCTAGTTTATAACCACTTTTCGGATATAGTGTTTTTAACCAAAGTTTCAGTAACTATGAAATAAAATAGCTACACCACATAGTGCTGGAAATAAAAATAGAGTACTATATGCAGAATTTTATGCTGAATCCAAATCTGTAGAGAAAAATGGGGATCCCAATTTAAACAACTTCAAAATTTATCACAACTTTTTCTTGGGACACCCTGTATACAAAAAAATATTTTTAGGATATGTCCTTTTCAACCCTTTTATAAACCATGCAACATCTGTATAAAACTTTTTTTCATATCTTGGACTTCCTCGCACTAATGGGCTACCCTGTATATATCATTAAATATTATTAGTGTTGAGTTATCCACTGCTATCAGAATCATGCCTCTTCCTTTTTTTTGATTCTTTATTCTTCAGTAATGCCATGATTTGCTCATGTCTTTGATTTGACGTAGTCTCCAAAAATGACATAATTCTTCCAAACTCTGACCTTCTTTCCTCTATATCTTTTTTTTGTACTTCAATCAGGTTAGAAAGAAGTTTGTCTCTATCTGGTTTAGTTGATCTTCGAATATTTTGAAATTTATTAATTGGATCGTTATCACTATCAGTGGAAACTGATGGTGACAAATTTTCTTTTGATGAGCTTGGACAGTTTTTATTATCACTTCTGATAGTAGTATCAGTACTTGTTTCATGTTTTGTTTTAATGCTGTCTATTATTATTGGTGGGTTAAATTTATCTTTATACTGGAAAATTTCCTCCATTTCCTCTAAGAATGGTGGTTTTAAAACTTTACCCTCGCCAGTTTGGTGTTTTTTGTCTTTGTATTTTACATATGTTGCCTGCAGATTAGAAAATTTTTTACGGCACCTTTCAGCTCCGTCAATACCTTCACCAACAAAAAATTTTTTTGAATTTAAATGGTTGGCGATTTCCTGCCATAAATGAATTTTTGGGTGTTTTTGGTCATCAAACTTGCTGGAGAACTTCTTTCTCATATTCAATAATAAAATAGTTGCCTCGACATCTTCTGACGACGATTTCTTTGAAGTCCATACTAATGAATTTGTTATTTCTTGTTGGTCCTAAAAGAGAAAATGCATATGTGTACTTACACCAAGCTCTAAACGTATGAATAAGTACCTACATTGTTTGTGTCTGTATTGCTGGAAAATTCTTGAGATATCGCTGCTACGTTGTTTGTGTCTGTATTGTTCGAAAATATTTTAGATATCGCTGTTTCATAATTTTTTCTAAACTGTTCATCGCCTAAAAATTGAAGAACAATTAACAACATTCAAAATTATGCTGTGGACACTGTGGTTGTACATACAGCTTTTTATCAATATAATTTTATATTTTGTTTCTGACATAAATCACTTACTTTCTAGTAATTCTGCCGTTTCCCCATCAACTTCGATAGTTAATCCATTTAAATTGTATGAGCACATTACAGTTTTTTGAGACATTTTTTTAATTTTTAATGGCGATAATCCAAAACCTTATAACCAGCTGTAAATATTCCCTCAATTTCCAAATTCATTGACAGATTTGACACAATCTGCCCCTCCACATTCCGCTTAAGACTTTATAAGCGCTCTCTTTAGAAGGCTAGTTACCGCTTAAAGACGCTTTAAGCCCGACGTCATTACTTATTCGCTCGAATGTGGAACTGTCACCCGCTTACAGCGTCTTATGCGCAAAAATTCGCCTTTAAATGGGTGCCCCCCAAAAACGGTTAATAACATTAACCGTTTTTGAGAAAAAAATATTTAAATATTTGGACGAAAAAAACTACCTGTCAAAAAAATTTGTATAGCCTAAAAGTCAAATTTAGTGTTTACCCCAGCCACTGTGATATAAAGAGAAGACATGTGGCTATCTATTTCAAAAATTAAATAGCTCAAATGTCATAATAATGGCGGTAGCTGTCATTGAATTGAGCGATTAAAAAATTATCATAAATCATTTTTTTCAAATGGAAACCCACTTTTCTTATTTTACTATTGAAACGGTTTTTCAATTCGTTACTTTTTAACTATACATGTTCCTATACCTAAAATAAATCGTTTTTAGGTTGTTTAAGATTTAGTTTGAAAACGTATTTTTCTTGATTTTATTCAAATTCAAATTCAAATTTCTTTATTAGACCCCATTAAATTTTACAGAATATTATTATTAATAAATGTGTGTCTAAAGGGATCGCACCGCGATTAAAAAACCGATACAATGACACAAAGTGCCAGAGTGGTGCGACCCCAACTAACTTGACGTTTAACGTCATAGGCTTCTGGCTCGGCTTCTGGCTAAAATCAAGAAAAATATACGTTTTAAAACTAAATCTTAAATAACTTAAAAACGATTTATTTTAGGTATAGGAACATGTATAGTTAAAAAGTAACGAATTGAAAAGCCTTTTCACTAGCGAAATAAAAAAGTGGGTTTCCATTTGAAAAAAATGATTTATGATAATTTTTTAATCGCTCAATTCTATGACAGCTGCGGCCATTATTATATGACATTCGAACAATTTAATTTTTGAAACAGATAGCCACAGTTTTTCTCTTTATGGCACAGTGGCTGTGGTAATCACTAAATTTGACGTTTAGGCTATACACATATTTTTGACAGGCAGATTTTTTCGTTCAAAAATTTTAAATATTTTTTTTCTCAAAAACGGTCAATGTTAGATATAGAGTGTTTAATATCAAAATTCATAAAATTTTACAGAGAATTTAAGTACATAATAAAAAATGGGGGCACCCATTTAAAATAAGAAAGTTGCTGTCAACTTCCTGTATCTCCGGAAGTGCCGCCATATTGAAAATATTTTTAATCAATAGATCTTGTTGTGAAACTATGATGTGCAAAAAATCTCCGAGCTAGATGTTGTAGTTCTCTAGAAACTTCTAATGCTCAGCCTGGGACACCCTGTATATTATCCAATATGATCGAAAAAAAAATGGCGTCAGCGATGGCTATGAAGTGACGATCGCTGTCATTGTATATGTGAAATTATCTGGGGAATATCACTGATTGTCATTGTCAAGCCAACTGGACGCCGTCTTTTTTCGACCATATGGTAGTAACAGTTCTAAATAAACATAAACAAATTTTGTTTATGTTTCCATTACAGTTGGATATGCAAAATATATTTTTGAAGAATACATGGTATACATTTTTTCAGTATAAATCATCAAATGATTCTTTGTGAGAACTTCATTTGTAATCTAGTGGATAGTGTATAGTAGAGTCAAATGAGTCATGGCTCTTTTTATAAGCAAATATTGACTATAGTCTGCCCAGTGAGAGAAAAAAAGAATTATTATTATTAAGTTTTTCTGTTGCTTACATGGGGATGGGTTGATGAGCATATATACAAAAGTACTTATATGTTTTATTTTTGATAGAAATCATAAGAGTTAATTTTTAAAGACAATATTATTAAAAAACTGACTTTATTATAGGTATATGTTTTAATCAAATTTATAGTATAAGTATGGTTTGTTCAAAAATTCAATTATCAGGAAATTTAATGCCACATTAAAATAAAATTTTAAAAGGCATAAAGGTATTTATTTTTATTTTTTTTAAAGATGTTCCCTAACTCTTTTCTAATAAAATCAAATAAAATTAACACTATATAGAAAGATTAAAAAAGGATAGAACATTTTCGAATTTTAAAAATGAAATTTGAAAAGCGATAAAAAATGTCTTTAATCAATGCTTTAAATATCTTGAACAAACACACAATATTACATAGTACATAGTATCGAGAAATGCGACAAATTTTTATCAAAACATGGAATTATCCATGACATTTTTTTTCTAGGTATCTTGTAAAAATTTTAGTTTGATGATCTAATATAATTTTTCATGGATTTTGTTAGGTTCCCAGTTACTTTCCAAGACAGCCTCAGCTCGCCCATATGCAGACCGATCCGTCGATCCTGCACCAATCCACGTGGCACACCCCCACCACAGAAGGGATGAAGCTGATGCCCACCCACGTTCTGAGCGAGATGCTCAAGAACGAAGCTCTGTTTCCCAGGGACTGTGTCGATCTGAGTCTAACTCGCAACGGTAAGAACTTTGAATATCTTATAACCTATTATTTCAGTCATTGGGGATCAAAAAAGAGGCCTGCTTGGAAAAAAGTCCGGAAGTTTCGAAACATTGCAGGTTTGTAGGTTTTGGGGTCCCTAACTAAAATCCATAAAATGCACATTTCTAGACTTGCCGCCGGCGCCGCCATCTTGCCAAGATGGCGCCCAAAATCGGTATTTTGTAAATATCTGGAAAACTATGCGTTTTTCGTAAAAATTTGAAGAGAGAAAAATTAAAGAGAATAAAATTTCCTATAAAAAAGGTTCTATGAAAATTTTTGCGAAAGTCAACCGTTTACGCACAACATCCCTGGAAATTTTACAATTTTGCGTAAAGTATGATATATGTATAGTCGATTTTCCGAACTCAAATGTCGATTAGGGTTCACTAAAACTTGTTTTAGTTTAGTTTCTTCAATTTTGTTATAAAACAGTGGCGTATCATTAATTCGTTTAATATAATAATAATTAATTTATGAATAATTAATTGTTGTGCTGGACAGCATTCATTGCGAACTTACCACCAGGTTCAGCATTGGTCTGGTAGTACCAAAGATGCCGAAGAATGGGGTTGGAAGAAAACAAAAACAGGCATTATTCCAGTCACAATGTTGACAGATCCAGCTCCAAAGTTCCTATTGGCATTTTTATCCTGTAAATGCAAAATGAACAACTGTGGTGCCTGCGGATGCAGAAAAGCAGGATTAAAATGTTCAATGATTTGTGCATACTGCAATGGAAAATCCTGTGACAACGTCACTGAAGTGTCACTCGACGAATCCGATGAAGAGGAGTTGGATTTGCCTGAAGATATCCCTCTGGCGGCTGAAGATGAAGAGTTGGACGAAATGAGAGACCACCCTGATGAGCCCAGTACAGCAGACGCGATCGACTTTACATCAATGAGCCAGGTCCGTCGGGCTTGTGCAGATAAGTTAAAGTTGTACTTTACCTCTTGGGTGGTGTGGAAACAAGTACACATTTTCAATAATTAAAATTAATTATTCATAAATTAATGAGCGAATTAATGATACACCACTGTGTCATTACAAAATTGAAGAAACTAAAACTAGTTTTAGTGAAACCTAATCGACATTTAATTTCGGAAAATCGACTATACATAATATATCATATTTTACGCAAAATTGTAAAATTTCCAGCGATTTTGTGCCTAAACGGTTGACTTTAGCGAAAATTTTCATAGAACCTTGTTCATAGGAAATTTATTCTCTTTAATTCTGCTCTCTTTAAATTTTTGCGAAAAACGCATAGTTTTCGAGATATTTACAAAATACCGATTTTGGACGCCATCTTAAGTCTGAAAATGTGCATTTTATGGATTTTAGTTAGGGACCCCAAAACCTATAAACCTGCAAAATTGCAAAACTTCCGGCCTTTTTTCCAAGCAAAAATCCCCAATAATTGTTGTAAATATACCAGCGATATTTGATTATTGATTATCAGTGTCTTTGTCTTTGATTTTGAGTTTCTTTTTTTTGTATGTCATTTTTAAGAAATAAATTTTAAATTAGTTTGGAAATTATACTTATATTAACAGGAAATTATTGGTAAATTAGTTATTTACTGAATACCCGTCTACTTGGCAAGTACGCCAATATTTCCGTACTTGGCAAGTATCCCCACCATCCCCACTTTGTAAACAACATTGGCCAATGAGGCGCTCACACGACGGGTCCATTTCAACAAGTACGGCAGCACAAACATTGTTTAAATCCTTGGCAAGTAAACAGTATAATCGCATCCATGGATACTGGTCGTCCAGAAATTGTCGTTGCTAGTGATTCTTTTTTCTTTTTAAGTTCTCTTACTGTACACTGCAATACGATTTCTATGTTCTTTATTTTTGGCCAGCCATATGAAGGGCTCATTTTCGTATAAATCCATAAATTCCAAAACAACATCATTTGAAGACTACACGGGAAAAACCAGCTTTGTCCATTTTAATGGGAGCCGAGAAAAATGTAATTTACTGTTTTTAAAAAAATATGTTATTTTCGGTTGAATAATTAGAAAAATAAATTACTACCAATTCTAAATTATTAATATTGTTAATTATCGCCATATTCTGAAATGCCGAAATAAAAATGTCAAAATTCAAAACAAAATAGGGGAAAAATCAGGGATGTCCAATTAAAGGTTGTATAAAACCTAAACCAAACTATTATTTTTTTGTTGTAGGAAGAAAATTAATATTTAAGTAGGTTTTTATTAGAATACATAACGTTTTATTTAATAATACAATAAAAATAAATTAAATAGTATGCTTTTTTTTTCATTTTAGGGTATTATCTAAAAATGTTTTTATAAAGAACATCTACTGTTTAGGAAGATTCTATTAAATTCAAAAATTTGAAGGAGATGTTTAAAAAAGTGTAGTTTGAAATGTTGAAAAAGTAATAAATTAAAGGAATATTTTCTTACGCGTAAAAATAGTTTTTTATACGTAAAAAGTGTTTTTCTGCGTAAATAAGGTTTTTTTAACAGACACAAATAGTTTTTGACGCGTAACCAATAGTTTTTTACACGTAAAAAATATTTTTTTTGGGTAAAAGAGTTTTTTACTAGAAACAATAAGTTTTTGACGCGTAAAAATTAGTTTTTTACATGTAACACTTAGTTTTTTACACGTAAAATATATATTTTTTTGCGTAACAAAAGGTTTTTTACCAGAAACAATAAGTTTTTGACGCGTAAAATTTAGTTTTTTACGTGTAACAAATAGTTTTTTACACGTAAAAAATATTTTTTTTTTGCGTAAGAAACGTTTTCTAGCAGAAACAATAAGTTTTTGACGCGTAAAAAAATAATTTTTTACGTGTAACAAATAGTTTTTTACACGTAAAAAATATTTTTTTGGTAAATTTTTTTTTACCAGAAACAATAAGTTTTTGACGCGTAAAATTTAGTTTTTTACGTGTAACAAATAGTTTTTTACACGTAAAAAATACTTTTTTTGCGTAAGAAAGGTTTTCTAACAGAAACAATAAGTTTTTGACGCGTAAAAAAATAGTATTTTACGTGTAACAAATAGATTTTTACACGTAACAAATAGATCTATATGCGTAAAAAATAGTTTTCTACGCAGTAACAAATAGTTTTATACGAGTAAAAAATAGTTTTCTAGCAGTAACAAATAGTTTTATACGCGTAAAAATAGTTTTTTTACGTGTAACAGTTTTATTCGCGTAAAATAATAAAAATAGTTTTTTACGTGTAACAAATGTTTTTTACACGTAATAATTTGATTCACTTTTACAAAATTTGTATTAAAATATCAATATTTTTGATAAACACGTGGACTACTCACAAATACACGTCGCGCCACTACGTATTTCTAAGCGGTTAACACGTTTCGTTACAACGAGTTCGTGTGTCAGAGCCGTCTCACTAGCTCGTATGTCACGGCTTTGAATTTTTACTCCCAGCGCGCGTAAAGAAGTTTCACACCAAAATGTTTCATAAATCATGTCCTAAAATTGCATTACCAACTATAAATATTTACTATTCTATTATATAATTATAATTATTTATTACATTATAATTATAACAAGTACTAACCACAACACTACAACATAAAAAACTATACACATATAAACTAAAATTCGTAAAATAAATGGCAAATAATAATTATTATTTTTACACACACCACTAGCACTAGCAGTAGATTGTGTTTGTCTCCAAATATATGCCCCGGCCCGTCCACAATTCAATCCCAGCATCTTTTATCTTCGTCTCTTCAACGCTAACGGCGCCGATCTCGCCTATCTCTTTCTCACAGGATTGATTGTTGGACGGGCCGGGAATCCATGAGCTTGTGACGTTACTAATTGACATCTTGTTAGAAAATGCAGACCTGTCGCGTCTTTTGCGTGTTTTTGATGGATACAAATCGAAAAAAGCGCTTAAAACGGTAAAATCGGTAAAAGCGCTTGAGACGCAAAAAACGCAAAACGCTAAAAACGCTTTCTGTGTGGCCGTGGGCTAAGGAAGGAGTAATTTTATACATATCATTTTTGTTGTAACCAGCGATATTCGATTATTATCAGTGTCTTTGTCTTTGACTCTGAGTTTCTTTTTTTTGTGTATGTCATTTTTAAGAAATAGATTTTAAATTAGTTAGATTAGGTTAGGTTAGTTAAATTATTGGTAAATTAGTTATTTACTGAATAAGTCTTTGAATGAAAGGAAGGAGTAATTTTATACATATCTGTCATACTTATTTTTTTATTCATATAAAAAATATTCAAATAAAAAAAATAAAACGGGGTAATTCGTCGTTTTTTTTTCCAAGAAACTTTGGAAGTATTCAGTATTTTTGAACTTTTAAGGTAGCTTTTGATCGGCATCAAGTTGTGCAAATTAGCCCCTGTTTAACCGACCTATTAGGATACTAGGGTCACAAGGGTAACGAAAAGGCAGATGAAGTGGCCAAACAAGGCTCATCAATGCCATTCATAGGCCCAGAACTCTTCTGCGGCGTTGTAAAAGCAGTAACGAGAAAAGCCACAAAACGATGGGTGACCAACAAATCTCTAGAATTATGGAGAAATTAACCAGGGCAGGAACAGGTGAAAAAGTATATAAGATATCTGTATATACTGTCTGCCGTGAGTTTTGGCGAATGTTCTCCTACGTACCCAACACAAAGACATAAACACCGTCAAAGCTGTAGTGGGTCTACTAAAAGGGCATTGTAAGCTGAATAGGTATCTAAAGCTAATGAGATTGATGGAAAATTGACGTGCAGGTTCTGTCAATCTGAACAAGAAACGACAGAACACATTTTATGTCAGTGCGACAGCCTGGCAAATGTGCGGTTCTCTGCAATGTTATGTCATGATATGTCACAGTCTTCAAGTTGCTAGACTTTTTGAAAAGGATAGGACTGGAGAATGTAACCTAAGGATCAGAGGAGGATCACGATAGATTTGAAAAAGTCCCAGTGGATCAGGCTAATAGTTACACACCAAAATAAAATCAACCGACAGCCTCAAAGAATCTAATCTAACCGACCTATTATCATTTCTAGTTTCCGAAAGCCTAATGATGAGTTTCGAGTTTGGGATACCCTGTATATTTTCTAATATGCTACAAATTAAACATGTAATCTATGATAGCCTTTAGATGTAACATATCAATTTGTAATGGAATGCATTTTTGAACTTTTGAATATTGAATTCATTGTTTAAGCGTTTATAAAAAACAGTTTAATATAACGTTTCGACTAGTAAGAGTGTTTATAGTCGTTATCAGGTAAAAACTGTTAAAATACTTATCAAATAGTTACACAAGTCATTGGTTGCTTTCGTTTTTTTTTGTACGCACCTTAACATTTTTAACGATCTTTATGTTAAAATTTTGATAGTCTGTTCTGTACACACCTATAAATTACTAAAATGTTACTAGCTACATAATAAAGCTAATATTATTTATTTAAAGTATCCGTTGATCTATGACTCATGGTAGAAATCTCCGTAACTTGCTTATAAAAATTTCCATAAACATTAGATTGTATCAAGCCTAGTTTTTGAAATCTAGTGCAGTAGAAAGAGGTATTATTGATGTGATATTAAACTGGTAATTATGCTATTAGTAGAAGTAAATTTACGACTTTTGATTAGTAAATGGGATTTATTTTTTATATTGATAATAAAACTACGTCATTTAACGTAAAACCGTATTTAAATTTAAATATAATTATAGGAAAAACGGTTATATTTAAAGTAAATAAATTGTTATAATGGTTAACACATGATTAGTTATTAGGTAATAAAAATCGTTTATAGGATGAAAACTATTTTATATATTTTCTATTCTTGAACACATTTATTTGCTGTATATTTTGTTAACAAAATAAATATTGATTTAATAGGTATTAAATATTTGCAGAAGTTTTATTAATCAATTCTAATGTATTATTTACTGGTAGTAATTAGATACTTTTATATTATCAAATCAATACATCGTATAACTAACTGTTACATATTAAGTTGACCATTCATATTTATTAAATATGAAAGATTTTTATTAAATATGAAAAATTTTTTCTTATTATTATAAAAATATGTCAAATGTTATGCTGTCTTGCTACCTTTGACATATAAGACGCCAGCTATACTTCTACGCTACCGATTACCACTGGTTAGGTTAGGTTAGGTTACTGGGGTTTGGGATTTTATTTGATCCCTCACTCGGAGGCCTTGGGCCCATTGCGATACTCCTGTATTATTGTACCAAATCTTTCTCTCGTTCTTTCTTTGCGTTAAAGCACTTCCAGCTCTTTGCACAGTTCCCGATATCGCTGATCTTGGCTTCTGCTGCTTCCTCTAGTCCCTCCAAAAAACCGTGCCCTAAAGTTTTAAAGCGTCACTATTCCAGTGCCGGACAGTAGCACAGCAGGTGGTGCATGACCAACATGACAGACAGGCCAGAGACATCGATTTGTGACGTCACCGCACTAGTCCGGCTTTTGTATTGTGCCATATGGTACTGCATATAGGTTTTGCATAAATAATAGTATTTATTGATAGTTTTGCCAGATATAAATATGAAAAATATTATACAGAAAGGTATTAAAAAATAACATTAACTTTTTATCGCGTTAAAGTAATTGAATAGCATTAAAATTTAGATCTAAAGCACGAATATTAATATGAAATAAACTACAGCATAAGATGAACAAAATAAAATCTAGATAATAAAAAGCGTGTCCTAAAATTGCGTTAGCGAGTATTTAGCAACTAGTAATAATATACCTGTGATAAAAAGTCTCCAAATATTAAAAAATTTGAAAACTATACGTTTATCGACAAGTTAAGAAAATGTATTGTATATGATAACGGCAGAATACATTTTAAAGTTTAATTAAAAATAATTGTAAAAATTTGCCTAACATATTTAAAAAATGCGGATATCAGATAGATAGAACTATTAACATTAAGTAATTTGTAGTTCGATGTTCATCAAGTAACCATCTCCATAAATCGTAAATAAAAAGATAAAGATATCATTTTTTTTATATAAAATATAAATAAAGTACAAATTCATTTAATTTCTTTAAAATATATTGCCATTTCATAATAACAATAATACTTTTCAATATTTATTTCATCCTGAATTTCCAAATCTTGTTTTCTTTCATCGGGACGTTTTCTCTTTATGGGAACATGCACAGAGGGTCCATAAGAGGGTTGATTTGGAAAAATTGTAGGCACAGCATGTTCTGTATGTTTTGGACGTGACCTAGTTACAGTTAATATTGTTGGGAAAGAGAATGTAGACAGATCCTGAGGACTTATTATAATTGCTGCTACAAGGCACAGGCACAGAACAATCTCGCGGAATTTTTTATTTCACAAAGTAAAAATAAAGAAACGAAAACTGGGGGTTTTACATAAAAATACACGTCACTTACGTTGGTTTAACACTATACACTAACACTAACGCTATTAATTATGTTTTTATATAAATTCCCCAACTTTTTCCTACTCCGGACACACAGCCGGCATCGCCGGTGTTACTATAATTTTTACCGAAAGTATGGTTTTTTCGCGGGTACGATGTTATGAATCGGATCTAGATAGTTCACTATTCACTCAAAATTATTTAGTATAATTTTATTAGCATAGAAACGCGTAAAAAATACAGATTTGTGGCGAAACTAATGAAAACAATTGGTTTGTTTACGACTACTAATTCTGGACCACTTCGGTAGAACTGTCAAAACAGTCAGGCCTTGAATATGACGTTAGCCACGGGTGGTGCTCTATGGATTCCTCTTCCTCTCCGCATTATCTGCAGTAGTCGTCGTTGGAAATCTTCCATCTCACGAGGTTTACCCCCGTGGTGCAGGTTCCAGTGACGACACCTACATTTATGCGTACTAGGTTCTTTTTCTGCTCTAGTAGTTGTTTTGTCTTTTTGCTATCTACCACTGGCCACAGTCATCGAGCTGTAGCGCAGTCCTCATGGTGTTGCCACGTCTCTTGTTGCTTGGCCTTGATGGTAGTTTCTATAGAGAGCTTCCTTTAGTGTGTTAATTCTCACGAGTGATAGGTCATCTGCCACGGCCTCTCTCCTGGCCCCCACGGTGTACCACTATTTTTCTTTAAATTAATTATGTATTGACGAGATTTTCAATAATTTATAATCTCTGTATTTTTAGGTAACCAAAACGGTGAAATACCGACCACCCCCATCAGTCTGAGCGTCCGCGACACCAACAAAATCAACAGCTTGCCGCCGAGTCTGTTGGACATCCAAGCGATGGAACTGACCAAGATCTACGGTCACGGTGTCAAGCCTGGCGCAAATCCCGGAGCCATACGATCGACGTCGATCAGTCCCGGGTTGAAATCGGCCAGTCCCGGACTGAAGAGTTCTAGTCCAAGCGTCAAATCTCTTAGTCCAGGTAAGTTGTGGTAATGAGATGTGGGTTTTGGAGATTAATTATACCGTCTTTCTAGAATGTAGAATGAGCAAGAGGGGTGGGGGGGGGGTAATCACTGCGACCTTAAAGATTGTTGTGCCCCCCTTCCTTGAGTCATCACACAGTCTATAACCCATCATACCCCTGTTGTAGAGGGGACAGGGTATTTCCCATCCTCCTCTGACAACAGTGAGGGTACACATCCTTGACTCTGAGGGTACACATCCTTCCACGGTTGGGGTTTGGCCCTCCGTGCCGCCTTTCACAGTCGAGGAGCTTGCCTCCGGCTGAGGAACCCGTGAGGTGGAGGCTGGAGGATCTGTCTCCATTTTCTTCACCTCTTTAACTTGGTCTCTCCTTAGACCTGATACCGGTATTTTTCCTGGATCTATAATAGAAGATATATCTCTCTTTCTCTATTGCCTCCTTGGATTTCAGGTCAATTCCTATTGTGAGGACCTGACCATGACCCTCCTCCCTCGAGTTGATGACTCGCCAACTCGATGTCCTTACATTGAAGTTCTGACCTTGGATAATGCTCAGCAGGTAGGTGGTGTCTTTCCCTTGCTCCTCGGCAGAAAGACCGTGATGGCCGCCCCTTTAGGGATGTTTTCTCCCTTCACTGCAACCAGTTCCGGCCCTTGCCAATTTTTAAGTTTAGGTGCGATTTCCACCAACCAATTCGCCGATTCTTGAGATACACAATCTATGAGGATCATGCCCACCCGAAAGTGTATCCCCGCAAAACGCAGCTGACAAACGATCGCCACTACTTCGTCCAGTATAGCCTCTTCTAGAGACGTTTGCTGGTCGGTGGTCAGAGCAACCTCTGGGAAATCTTTTGGCAGCACCGCCATTTTCACTTGTCCAGCAATAGCGGCAAAGCTGGTGATACGTCCCCGCTTGCCTCCCGGTGTTGGACGGCTTTCCATCCTGGCTTTTTTCTCTCCCTGCCGGAGAAGAGGTGAGAGGTTTTCGCTCCCTCTCTTGCCCTTTGATGGAGATGAGTCAGGTTGTTTCTTGGTTTCTTTACTCTCCTCTTTTCGGAGAAGTGTTTTCGCTTTATACGGTCTTTGCTTTGAATAAAAATATTTAGGAAGCACTGCATGGTTCGGAAGTAGTTAATTAAGACGTAATTTACCTGATTAACTACGTGCAGTTTTTCTTCCAAAACTACGTCTTTTCCCGTTCATTAACTACATGAAAACTACTTTAATAAACTACGTATTCATATTACGATAAAAAAAAACATCCTATAAATAAAAATGTCAATTTTGATAGGAACATGTAATATACATATAGGCTTTTTATTTAATTAAAGAATTATAAATTTATAAAAAACAGAATATAATGGATAACACAATTTAAGCCACTAATTTATTCTACTAATTTCGAGGTCTGAATGAAGCATATCAACTGCTGATATTTCTGCAAAAACCTATTTTTCATTTTTCTTTCGTAAATAACGTTTTTGGATGTTAATATGTGAAAAATTTTCTCTGTCGGAAGATATAGCACACCGTGGCTTATATTGCGATTTGTGTTTGTTTTAAGGGAGAAAATCCGTGAGTCCAGGCCCGAAATCGGTGAGTCCAGGTTTGAGCTTGGGCGGAGGAATAATGGCCCCTGTTTCTGCTACCATATCCACTCCAGACGCAGGGAAGAACCTAAAAAGATCGAATGTAAGAGTGGATTCGATTTTGGAAAGGCTTAATCCAACTTCAGAAAAGGTATTACTGTAAATTTTAACAATTTTTATAATTACCATTATGTCAAAGAAATATGGAGACAGGTTTATCACTGCCTTTATATACAGGGTGGTCCGAACGGTATGTCCTATAATGCTTAGTTTCGGAGATACAGGGTGTAGAAGTTTCATTCTTATTACAATTTTTTCAAAATAATTTCTGAAGTAACGTCAATATTTGGATGAAAATTGGTGTCTGGAGGTTTTTTGACGTGAGAAATTTGATGTTGATGTCAATATGACTCCTACTTGTAGAGGGCGCCACCTACATATATTTTAACTGGTTTGAAGAGTAAAAACTTTTCGTCTGTACCTGTATAAAACAAGTGAGTAAAAAAATATAAATTTACGATGTTTTTTACGTAAAAAAGGTCTCTTGGTAAAAATCGCTATGAGCAATTAATAGTTCTTGAGATGTTTGGCATCAAAATTATCAATACCCATCATAATTGACATAAATTGTTGACTAAATAGTTATTAGACTGAAATTTTAAATGTTTTTGTAAATTTTCTGGAAGAAAAATTTATAATTAATTTTAAAAAATAAAAGAGTTCACAAATTTATCATTTCAGTCAAATAACAATATCTACTCAAAGTGTTTATTTTTTGTCAATAATGACATGTATTGACTATTTCTATTTTAAATATCTTGAGAACGGTTGCTCGTAGCGATTTTTACCAAGAGACATTTTTTACGTAAAAAGTCACGGAAATGTATACTTTTGCACTCATTTTATACAGGTACGGACGAAAAGTTATTACTCTTCAAAACAGTTAAAACATATGTAGGTGGCGCCCCCTACAAACAGGAGTCATATTGACATAAAAATCAAATTTTTCATGTCAAAAAACTCCCAGTCACCAATTTTCATCCAAATATTGACGTTACTTCAGAAATTATTTGGAAAAAAACCGAACTAAAAATGAAACTTCTACACCCTGTATCTCCGAAACTAAGCAATTTAAGACATACATCTACACGAACTTTTTTACTTATATTTATCTGCAGAATATGCTGCCGAAGTTCCTGGAATACAGCTCGGACCACCCTGTATACAAAATTTATCTGAATTAAAATAAACTTTGTTTTAATCTCTTCCCAAAGTAACAAAGAAAATAAACGACTAATACTAAATAATTCAAAATTTATTTACATCATACAGTATGTGCCTGGATCATCGTTACAGGAGGAAATACTTTTTTATTATTGACATTTTGGGAAAAATGCATTTGCCTGGTTTTGCATTACCTGTTAAGTTTTAATTTAAAAATAGATTCAGTTTTTCTTAAATTACTTAAAATCGGCTTCTTCAAAATTGTTCAAATTTTGCATGTGTATTCAGCACAAGCAGACCTTAAAGAAAAACTATTTTTCCACTTTGGTGTAAAATCAACAGGGGAGCCAGTAATTGAACAGTTCAAAACTGCTAGCATCACCCGGTATACCGGGTGATAGGAAATGCCATGTAAATTTTAATGGGGTCAATTATTGGCTTCCCTAATTATTTTAGAGAATAATTCTATTTAGGTTTATTGAAGAGCACTAAAATCCACATTCAAAAGAATAACTTTAGATATTTTTGATTGGCCCGTTTACGAGTTATCGCCGATTTCTTTTTAAATATTTCTCCTTTCTTATGGCCCTGTATTTACTTATGAGTACCAGTCAAGGTAAAAGATAACTGTCAAATGAGGTTGTCATTTCAGAAATTTACCTATTTAGTGCTTTATTATTATTGAAAACTCATATCTACATCGAAAATATTAGCCATGAATTACACTACCGAAGAAAAAGTATTGATGATTAAATGGTATTATCAAGGAAATAGTTATCAAAAGGTGTCGGACATGTTTGCTACTCTGTATCCGAATAGACCGATACCTGGAAAATCTACAACTGCAAGGAATATCCAGAGATTTGAGACCAATGGTACCCTAATAAATAACTGCAGATGTGAAGCAAGGCAGTAACAAAGAGAAGATGCAAGAAACGATACCGACTTGGAAGTTTTATTGTGCGTGGAAGAGAACGATGGAAAGATCAGCACAAGGAAACTTGAGGATGAAATAGGAATATATCACACTTCCATCGTTTCGAATTTTGAAACGACATAAATACTATTCCTTCAAATATGAAAAGCACCAAGAGCTACGAGATGGGGACGAAATACGGCGGCAGGCGTTTTGTTTTGATATGATGGAAAGAGCAAACACGGATAGGGAATTTTTAAAAAACATATGTTTCACTGACGAATGCACGTTTACCTTAAATAATGAACCCAATGTTCAAAATTATCGATATTGGAACAAAGAAAACCAATACATCAGGTTTGTCGAAACAAGGACGCAATATCCACAGAAAGTAAATGTTTGGGCAGGGATATTCGGACACAATATTATCGGGCCATTATTTCTTACGCGAAATTTAAATGCAGAATATTATTTGGAACGACTCGAAAATCATATTTTACCTGCTTTGCATGATGCCGCTAGGGAAAATCAGGAAGTTTGGTACAAAATGGATGGCTGCCCGGCACATAGTACCCTGGCTGTTCGGGAATATTTAGACAATATTTTTAACGGAAACGTTATTGACCTAAATCATACAGTAAATTGGCCAGCAAGGTCTCCTGATATTTCGCCAAATGATTTCTTTCTCTGGAGCCATTTAAAATAAGGATATACAAGGATAAAAAATACCCAAATCTAGACGAGTTAAAAATGCTATTTCTGCCGAATGCAATAGAATTTCAGTTTACCAACTAACGAATGTAAGAAGAGAATTTTATGATCGCCTGGGTTATTGTCTAGCAGTCGATGGAGGAATATTTGAACATCTTCTTAAATCCTAAACTTCTAACAATTTAATAGTGCCTAAATTAATAAGTTATTGAATATTGTAATAATACTATAATTAACCTTGTAATTGATTACTTTATTTTACTTTAATTCATATTAATTTGTATTTATAAATACATCTTTAACATTTCCGATGTAGGAATGAGTTTTCAATAATAATAAAGCACTAAATAGGTAAATTTCTGAAATGACAACTTCATTTGACAGTTATCTTTTACCTTGACTGGTGCTCATAAGTAAATACAGGGCCATAAGAAAGGAGAAATATTTAAAAAGAAATCGGCGATAACTCGTAAACGGGCTAATAAAAAATATCTAAAGTTGTTCTTTTGAATGTGGGTTTTAGTGCTCTTCAATAAACCTAAATAGAATTATTCTCTAAAATAATTAGGGAAGCCAATAATTCACTCCATTAAAATTTACATGGGATTTCTTATGTCCCGTCCGACGATGCAACACCCGGTATAAGGAAATACGGAGACAAGTAAAAAATCTTTCCATACAGTAAAAAAGGAAATAAATGACTAATACTAAATAATATAAAAACTTTAGTTATATATCTATGATATAGAAAACTATTTCAAGCAATGGTCAATATTTCTTTGTTTTTCAAATAATAAAATTAAGTTACAAGACAATTCGCGATAATAAATAATCATAATGAGAAATTCGGTCTCTCTATTAAATCATATCTATTGTTGATATATTTCTGTATATATCTATAATACCTACGTAGTATTTAGTTGTTTGTATTTAACATTTCTTGTTAAATTATTAAAATAAGTTTGTTTCAAAAGAAAAAAATATATTGTAGATATGCATTTTTAGTTAGTAAATAAATAGGAGAATGTAATTTCTATTATTAATTTTATCATATTATGTTGTAGTTATATTGGATCTTGCAGATTAATTTAATGAACAGTGCAAATTACCAACATACTGTAAATATTGCACAATCAATTTTTTATCTTTGTTATTTTGAGGTGAAAATAATATAAAAAGATTGCAATGTGGATATAGAAAAACATAAAATTTAGGTTTTGTTTCTTAGTGTCAGTTTTGTTGTATATGTATAAGTGCAACTGAGGGTAAAAAGTGTCGGTATAATTAGTTCAACATATATGAAACAAGTTTTGTTTCATATGTTAAACTAATAATTATTTTAGATAAAATAATAATAGTTTTTATTTCTTTGGAAAAAGACTATTTTTGTCCTGCCTGTAAGTTCTGTTTTACATATTTTTGTTTAGATAATGCCCTACCAAGAAGCCAAACATGATCCACCCTCTACCACTACCACATCTATCACTGAGAAACCTCCAAGCGATAGACAGCAATCTCAAAGTCACAGCGTCATTGTGCAAGCTGCTAGTAGCTATGATGAAAATAGCAATTCCAGTGGTACTAATGTAAGTATGGAAATTTGTGTGAAATATATATGTATATTGATAAAAAAATTGTCTGCACGATGTGTTTACTTCATATGTTTTTTTCTTAGTTGCCTACTGGTGCTAATCCAAAAGAAGATGACTCAGGATCAATGCACAGCAATGAAGATAGTTTGGACAGTACCAAGTCAAGGCGTAAAAGAAAACCAAGTAAAACTATCAGAGTGAACAAAGAGGAAGATATTAAAACAGAAGTTGAAAAAGTAAGTACCATGCAACCACTTTAATTGGAACAGCTAATTGTAACGACCTGTTCTGTTTAGCAAATACCGTATGATCGAATAAAAACGGCGTCAGCGATGGCTATGAAATGAATATCGATGGCATTTCTCATATAAATTTACATATAAAATGACAGCGATGTTTATTTCATAGCCATCGCTGATTCATTACCAAATTTTATACTTTAAAGGTTGATTAATTAACTTTAATCTTAATTTTTTTAAACCAGTACCTTTAGACATTATTTTTCTGCAGTACTAAAATCCATTATTTACCTATCGTGTGATGGTCGATATTTTAGCTACTCCAGTAGTATATGTTTAGTAGGATACTTTTACCATATACGAGATGCAGTTATGTACGAGATGCGGTATACAAACTTTATGATGGTAACTTTATTGGTGTATAAGACCTCATAAGACTTTCTGCCAGGGCAGCGATTATTAACAACTATCCTCCTACACTGGGTGCCTGCTCACCAAGGGATAGAAGGCAATGAAAAAGCAAATAATCTAGCTAGGAAAGGAGCGAACACTCCACTAACTGGACCAGAACCGTTCTGCTTTCCAAGTGGTAACCAACTCAAGGCGGAACTCAAGAACTTGGAAGATTCCATCCGCAACCTGGAATGGACTTTGACAAGCCTCAAAAATCTAAAGGCGAGTTCATACGCATCGGCGCCCGTTTATCGTTCATCGTTCCGTCAAACCAATAAAATTGAAATATGATCTGTCATTTTTGAAATAAACCAATAAAACTGGATATAAAGACGCATGACGGATTTATATTTAAACCCATCCATAGTTAACTTAAAAAATGTTAGAAACTTTTTTTAGTGAAATAAATAGTTTGGTATGGGACGTCATCTGCGTTTCTTCTGTCATCGTCTGTCGAAATCTTACTTGAGAAAAAAAACAGAGTATATTTATAAGATAAGTTAGTATTAACGCATTTTCACACATCAGCATTTTTGTATTCTTTGAGATTTTCTATTTTAGATGGTTTGTTTAGTGTTACTCAAACTTCAATGAAAATGTAAGGCCTGTACAAAGAGTAGATAAGACAAGAGACGACAGTTCGCGCGGTACCTTTCATGTTTGAGTGGTGGGGAGAGTGACCTCGTCTCGCTTGTCCCTTTAAATTTTCGTAATTTTTTCGCGGGAAATTTGAAATAGGCTATTATTAAAACTTGCCTGTATAGCTTATAAATAGTTACTGTATGGATAAAGAAATAAATAGAAACGAAAAAAAATGAGTTTTCTAAATATTATATAAAATAAATTATAATTAGAAACATATTTGTCGGGGAATAAAGATAATAAAAGCAATATTTTGTATATCGTTGGTAAACAAGATAAAGTGACCAAGTCGATTTGTAAGAAATGTTTTATTTGCGTGTATTTTTTTACATATGGACTTGAACAAGTGTAAAATCACAATGTGGAGTTTATGTACAAAAAAATAGAGTTGCTCAATTTTTTTGGAAAAATATATTACAAGCTTCTAACCATGTCTTCGATCTATGGATTACATTTAGTTTAATAACATAATTATATAGTATATTTCTATAAAAATACTTTTCAGGATCCTTTGGAAAAGAGTGAAATATTATGTTTGTCGAAGAATAAGACCTATTTTTGCAGTCTTTATAAGCACACACATTGCCACCATCTCGTCTTTTCCTGCTACTCGTGTCCTGTTCAGTATTCATATTTAACAATATTTACAAATTACTACGCAACAAAAACGATACTAAAATTAAACCTTAAAAACTCTCAAAACGATAATATATCTAAAAACTCTGAAAACACACTTTAAAAAGGCAAAAATGCAAGAAAACAACTAATCAGATTTGTTTATGTTGAAGCCTGATTAGCACAGCTGATTAGCGTCCTAAAATCATAGGTTAGATTAGATAAAATACGCCGTTGTAAGATTTTGAGATTTTATCTGTTTATCTTTGAAATCGATGAACTTAGTCATTCTGTTTCTTTGATATTATCAGTACATTGCGAAAAAAGAACCTAAACCAACCTAAACTAAAAATTTACATTTCTGTATTAACATACGTTACTTATATCCTTATATTATTAATTTATTTTCAGAAAATCTTGTTTATTTTTCAAAGAAATATACTTGGCAACAGACAAAATGGGACTTGATGGGACCTTTAAATTTTAATATATCTGATAAATTCGACTTCTTTGTTCACTGTCGTCTCTTGTCTTATCTACTCTTTGGCCTGTATTCATAGTCGCGTTTCGAACTGGGTCTCCGAAAAGACCGACAAAAATAACAGGCTTACTAGGCTACTATTTAAGTAGTAAGCCTGTTATTTTTGTCTGTCGTTTGCATCTCGTGACTGGAGCCGCTTTTGAGAAACGATTATAAATACGGGCCTAAATATAATAATTTATCAAAAATAATTATTACTAATATATCTTATATTTTTATAAATAAAGTATAATATTTGAATTAAAAAAGAATAGTAAAAATATTTCTAGATGATTTGATCATTATTTGACTAACGTTCATTTTGAATAAAATGTAGTGAAAATTAAGATCTAGGACATGGCAACATTGTTGGGTGCCCGAGGAGACTAGTGGGACTTAGACGATAGTTTATATTCCTTCCTTAATCTTTTTATTCAAAGCTTTATGATCTAGGGATCTAAGATATTAATAATCTTCTGCTCCAGGCCATTCCAGAACCGATGCCTACCGACCAGCCCCACAACCACCAAGACCGCCAGGTCCCCCCTTCGGTGCCCGCGTCCGACCCCATCGCCATAGCCACCATCCTGGAGGACAACAAGGTGCCGGAACGTCGACGGTCCTCCGACGAGCTGGACGAACTGCTGCCGGCCAAGGCCCGGCGAAAAACCAGCAGCGAATCGGAGACCATCGACGATATCGCCGCCATGGTCCAGGAGGGGTTGAAGGAGAAGGGCAGGAGGGCGGAGAGGATGGGGGAGTGTAAACTGGAGGAAGAGGTTGCCAAGGTAAGGGTTTATTATATTAATTATATATTATTAAGTATTTATTATATGTGTGTACCTTATTAAGGACGTGTATGATGTAATATTACTGACGAAAAGGCTATATAGTGATAAACTTCTAGATATGGCATAATTCATAAGATTTGTGTTTAAAATTGATAAATGGGTCTTGTTTTTACCTACTACTGAAAATTTTCTCTTGAAATATCGTGTTTTATTAAACAGTTAAATAATTTTTAAAAATGTTTTTTAAGGCTGCTCGTATTGAAAGTATTGACAGCACAAAGGAAGTATCAAATGAGGTAGGCTTTTTTTTAACAAATATTAAGTTTTATACTACATAGTTTTTTATATATTTTTTAAAGTATTATTTTTTTTCTTTATTTAAGTCTGCACCAACTGATGACTCTGATATAAAGGAAAATTTGTCAGAATTGGTAAGAATTTTAAAACACAAGACATGCAGTATGATCGAATAAAAACGGCGTCAGCGATAGCTATGAAATGAAGATCGCTGTCAAATTATAGGGGAAATGTCATCGATCGTTATTTCCAAGCCAACTGTACGCCGTTGTTTTTCGATCATACGGTATTTGGTGACGTTTTATAACTAAGTAATATGAAATAACATTAAAATACTATACTAGACATAGATATTATGGCATTAATATTTCATAATATATCTTTTTAATTAAAGTGCATTTTGTGTGATAAATATTTATATATTATCGTTTTTTTTAACAAGCCTACTCAAATCGACGAATTAAAAGAGGATGTTAAAAGTACCGATGAAGCGGTAAGAAACATTTTTGGCCAAAATCTAGTTTTTTGTTAAATATATATTACGTTTTTTGTTTACATTCTTAACTTAAACCTCAAAAATATTTTGTTTGTTAATGCTTTCGTAGCCTGATGAAGTTGATGGACCTGTAACCACAGAGAAAGACGAAATAGCGATGGTGAGAATAGAAATAATTGTTTATTTACACTACTACCAAAATATCACTGACCCTAGCTATAGCAACGCGTGGCTGGGTCTCTGTCTAGGTTAATTATGTAAAAATAATTTGTACTTACGTAATACAATATTCTAAAATGCACATTGTCGCTAGCCTGGAGGTAGTGTCGTCGGTTTCACGACCTAACAAATTACTGAATATTGACTCGACCCTTTTAAATATTGAATGTCTTTTCGAATCTGGATTTTTCGTATTTAATTGTTGGTTAGGTTGTAGAATTTTTTGAATCTCGACGAATCAAACGAGTCCGGGAAGATACTCGTTGGACATACTGCCACGCCCTTTCTAATTTGAAGTTCAATAAAACACAAGTTTACTTAATCGGTAATGAGTTGCATAGAGGCCACTAGCTTTTTAATTTTAACAGCCGGGTGGTCGGGGTTCAAAGATATTAATAAAAGGGCGCCACGAGATTATACTCTATGAACTCGGCAATAAAGAAGCAACTATTAAGTACACTTCAACACTAACCTCGAACTGTTGAGTGTAACTATCATGAACTTCAAATATTACTGTAATTCGTTAAACTTAAGTGACTCTAACTTAAATAATACTACTAAAAATGTTTAAGTAATTTATTAAAATATTAAAAGTTAATATTTATATAAAAAAAATGAATGAAAGGTAGATTGAAATATGTTAAGAAATTTTAAATCGTTAAGAATTACTAATTACGAATGCAAAATGAAAAATGTTTTAAGCTATACTAAAACTAAAACGTCATCCCCCTTAACTAAAACTAAGTATGCTCTAAGGGCGGAATACAAATATCAAATCTAACTAATATCTAAACGATCTTACTCTAACGTAATGTCTTGACAAGTACTTGCAAACTACTGAAACTTCCTCCAGCTGAGCTTCGGTGTATAGCAATGGGGTAGCTACAGCAGGCTACAGCAGCTGGTTGTATTGTCACTGGAGCCCGTCAGCAAACGTACAGATACCAGGCAGGTGTAGGACTTCAACAGGTGTCATAAAAATACCCTAAATAACATTGGTTGTCTTAGAAAGAGCGTCAATTATAGAACAAGGACTAGCACAACGTGTAGGAGTTAATAAAGGTAATAAAGAAGGACTAATCAAATCTGAACTTTACCTCAACGAGGGTTTATGATGTCCAACGGGTAACTCTACACACGGGCAACAGGAACGGATGGAATTCTGGACTGTTCTGTGCTGTCCGGTCTGGATCGGTCTTCTTGCTCTACACTTACGAACAACCAAATAAGACTTAAGAAAGATAACACTCAACTAATCTTTCTACACCACGTGGGCGTGGGAAAGTCGAAAACCAGTCAACAATACGAATAAAAATCAGTTGAGTATTGACTTAGAATAGGCAGAAGAATTATAACATACCTTGGAACTATTCTGGGACTTCTTGGGCACGTGGAATCGGGATATCGGTCGGAGAATTTGGCTATTTTAATCCCATTGCGGAAATTAGTCGGCGGTCCATACAAATCAACAAAATCCAACCACGTCTCTGACCAAAGGTGTTTCGGAAGCCTTAATCCTTCTTTACAAAGACCTGCTATTCACCAACAGGGAATGCTTCATGAAACGGCAGCCAGTTCTTCATGACGACATTCGGACGGTGGGTACACAAGAAGTGATGCAAGGATTCGATTTCCTTCACAAAATCAGATTTCAACTGGAAATCTCCCTCCAGGATATAGATAGAGAACTATATATCTTGACTAGTCCAACTCACAAAAGGCATAAATAAAAATGATGTTTTCTCCTCAGCCATATTCCATATCCGGTCAATGAACGAACTAAACTCAGAAATTCCACAATTAAAAGAACGAATTGCATACTGCGATCCACATCAAAAATAACCAATTTAACTACGAAATTTTATCTGATAATTATAAAATTTCAATAACCAAAACAAAGGATAAATAAATCCAAAAACATCTGATTTGATCTGACAGTGACAAGTGACGGAGGTGATGATCAAAGATATAGAGAGATGGACAAAAAGCCTACTACTGCTGGTATGTCTGGTCCAGTGACAATATTGTGTAATAGCGCGGTGTATATCGGGTTGCATAATTATAAAATTTAAATAAAATAATATTTAACAATAAAATTATAGTAAACATGATGCAAAAATAATAGTTATTTGCGATAATTTATGAGCTAGCGCACAGAGGTCGTTGCGAGGAAATTTGACTGTTACAATACTCTACTTTGTATTTTTTTCTTACGCCATCAAATACAGACAACATATTTAGGATTACCAAGCTTCTGTCAGTTCAAAAATCATATGCAGTCATGTCATCACACCATTGGCCCCACGTTGGGCGCCACACGTTACACACCAGTTTGTGGCCTATGACTAGGGACATAACAAATAAATATAACTGAGTATTCATTTAATATCTGCTTGACAGTATTATTACTACCATTGACGTTATAGTAGAAATGTGTATCGTCACTGAAACACGAAATACTCAAGAATTTTGCTGATATGACAACGAGACACTTGAGAGTTTATTATATTAGATTTGATATCCCTTACGAATGCTGTTACGAATACCTTTTTCAAATTTCAGGCAAAAAACTCATCTGTAGACGTTGCGAGACCCGTGACTGTTAGTGTGATTAAAACGAAGGACCATTTAGAGGATTCCCTAGCGAGCAGTGATCAGGTGGATGGCAAGACTGATATTACAACGTCCGAATCGAGCCAGACACCCGTCATTCATCTGGAGGCTCTGCTGGCTGCGGAACTCGATAAGAAAAAGCACACAAATACCAGTTTTGTTGATGTAAGTGACACGTTTAATAAAATGTTCTCCTAATTTATAGAGTTATTACGTTGCTTTGTGTTTTTTTATTATTAGATATTGTAGTAAGATTTTTATTACAGGTAGAGAATAAATTAGAAGAAATGTTCGCTGGAATTGTAGAAAATCATTCTGAATCACCTCAACCGACGCCATTACCACCGCCGAAGAATGACACTACTTTAGATTTAAATGACGATAGGTGAGCATGATAATATACAGTTGATACCAAATAAACTTTTAGTCATGTGACTAAGCTTGACCGGCACAGCGTTGCCCACTTTTATATATTTTCTTTTAATCAAAATATCTTAAGAAACAAAAATAAATTAGTTATAAATATATAAATAGTTATTATTTACATCAACAAAACTCACCTTCTTAACAGCACTTAGGGGACATAAAGGGCCATTACTACCGCTTTTAGGTTCAAAATATTCTAATAAAGTAATTAGACGGCTATTAAGCTATCTTGTATACTTCGCACTAAAAGAGGTTCTAAAAAGAACACTGTTCGACTGCAAGGTCTGCTAGTAAACATTTTCAAAAGCTTAATGTATCACAACACTATTTATTTAAACCAGCCTAACCTAAACAAAACATAAAGCAGTTCTGTATATACAGGGTGAGGCTTAAATAAGGCAAATATTTTTAGAATTGGTATATTTCGACCCCAGAAACACGATTGGGTGTTTTTTTTCGCGAAAAAATTGAAAATTTGGAATTTTTGGAAAAAAAATTGAAATTTTTGGAAAAAAAATTGGAATTTTTGGAAAAAAAATTTGGAAATTTTTTAAATTTTTAGTTAAAAAAAACTAATTTCTTGATCATATGGTAACATAGGTAGTTGATTAAATTTACAAGAAAGAAAAGATCTAGTGGTTTTCAAAATGTTCTTAAAAAAAAGCAAAAATATTTTTTTTTACATTTTTATTCAAATTTACAAGAAAGAAAACCCAGAAAAGATCTAGTGGTTCTCAAAATGTTCTCAAAAAAGCAAAAATCATTTTTTTTACATTTTTGTTCGGTATACATTTTTGGTTAAGCATACAATACTGTTCAGTGATGACAAATTTTTCTTTGAGTTGTATTATGTGATATTTTTTAAAATTTTCTGTTAATTCTTATTACAGCTTATTAAAATTAGACGACTCTGTGTCGTCGACTAGTCGGGAAGAACCGGCTGTCGAAGAGTCTGTCGAAACGCCGATTTTAAAAGAGGAAGACAAAGTTCCTGTCAGTGAGATTAAAAAAGAGGAGCAAAAGAAACCGGTGGCGAAGAAAACGCAGAAGAGCAGGCCTACTTCAGGAGTCGATGCCGAGGAAGATGGAGCACCATCTCCGAAACGCAAAAGGTATCTATTAGCACAGATTAGGTATACTATATGTAAAAAAGAAGAATGAAATTATTGGGCAATCTATAAGTTGACATATGATATGTCATTCTATTCAGAGTGTCATTTTCTATTGAATAAAATAGAGATATACCTAGGGTGCCATTTAAAAATCAAAAGTTGTAGTCATTTCCGGTGAAACAGGAAGTGACCAAAAACAATTGAATGCGTCAATCAATCCCAATTTATGTCATATACTAACATACCAAATCTTGTTTTTTTTTAAATAAAAAAATAAAAAATTTATGGCGGTGAGCCACTTTTGGGACGCACCCGGTATAATAAAGACAGTACCGAGTTAAATAAAGGTAGTTTTCATTTTATCCACTTCCTAAAAGCTTGCTTTAATGGAACAGATTTCTGTTTTCTCTAATTTACATAATAAGACATAACTTACCAGAAAAAAATTACAACAATCATAAAGTTTTTTCTCTTTCCATGTCGCCGATTCTATTATATCTATATAATAGATCCTGTTTTGATTAATATTAGGGTTGTAAATGTTTGACTAAAATTAATAATTATTAATTTCAGAAATTAAATACGTAATTTCGATTATTAAAATTTTTTCTATAACATGTATTTTATTATTTTTATCGTTTTTGGACTCTAAGACGTTTTTTTCTAAACTTTTATTTAAAAAACCTCTCCTAAATCTTAATAAAATATAAAAAGTTTAAATACGATATATTTTTAATTGAATTATACTTCATTAAAATAAAAAAAATACCCGGCTATGGGACGGAGAGTTCAGGTGTACTGAGGAGCAAAAGACAGTGTTGCGTTTCTCGTCAGAGTCGTCAGGGAACGACCGTTACGACGGAGACAACCTATCTATCGCTCGTGTCGCACTCGTTAGAGCCTAAAACAATAACAAGACATTGTCTGATCGCATTTTCCAGCTATTTATGAATGAGATGCTCAGTCTATATTTTATTTTAAGTCTATGTATCCATGTATTTAAGCATGGTGGGCGGAAAAAGGACTCTAGGGTGGGAATCCTTTACAGTTTTGTTTGACGATTAATTTGACACATTTGAATTTGATTTGAAATTTTGTTGATTTATCACTCTTTACGGAGCTTATTTTATGTTATTTATTATTCTACTACTGATAGTTGTATAAAGGTAGTAAATCTAGAAGGAAATTGTGGCAGAACTTAAATTAACAGTGACACTATTGCGATTTATTGAAAAAGGCTCTAAAATAGTTGATTGTGTAGCGTGCGGTAGATCTCGGTCAAAAATCGAGTGAAATAATGGAACAACTTTTGGCTAGTAAGTGACAATATAATATACATACGTGTAGAAAACCGATCATTTTTGAAATTCACTTAAAATAACTAATTATATATTTTTACTTGCATTTTTGCTTTTATTTACTACTTGTCAAAGATTAGATGTCAATTAATTTAGATATATACATCAATTTGACTTACCTGCTTCAGTAGCGTATCGGATGTTTGTGTTAATAAATAATTATTATAACTTATGTATTTTTATTAAAATTTTATATTTTTATAACAATTTTAATAACTACCAACATTTATTCACAACGTAAAATAAAACAACAAATTATTGAGTCTACCCCACGTCTACTCTACATCATAGTTTTACACTTTTTAAATAAAATTAAAACGGCACTGATAAACCGGAATTTAACTCGGCCATATTTGAGTCCCATCGCGGTGGACCTAAGATTTTTGATATGCTCCTTTCTTAATCTTTTTATTCAAAGGACTGGTAGATTGATAGGTTTTCTTAATGTCACTTATTGTTTTTCTAGATTTACAAAGACAAAAGGATCTACTCCAGCAACGAAGAAGATTTCTAGATCACCTACAACTTCCATTACCAAAGCTGCTAAAAAATCTATTGTACCATCTCCTACCAAGAGTCCTGTTAAAACACTCGCGGCTGAGGTTAAGGTAAGTTGCAACAAATTATATTTTAAGAATAAGCATTATTGTAGAGGACTTGATGAACATATCTGGCCTTTTAGATCGTAGTTTGATTTTGATGAATACTGACAGAATGAAATTCGTTGTTCAAATATTCATTTCGTTTAACACGACGCTTTGGCTAGAACACACGGCCTTGACGGCCAACGGCTGGGATCTTGGTTAGCTATTCAATCATTCTCGAAATTGGCTGCAAAAGTTTTCTGATAACTTCATCGTTCTGATGTTGCCGGAAAAATATATTTTCGAGTTCTATTAGGGACAGATCATCAATAAGGGGTCCAAAGCTTTCTAGTTAAAACTGGATAACTTTTAAAAATTCTATATTTCGAAGGGGACTATAACAAAATATCAAGTGTGCTATATTTTTGGAAAGGTAATTTTAAGTTCTTTTCACTTAATTAAAAATAAAAGGGTGTCTTAAATAAAAAATCAATTTTTCTGTTGATAACTCTTAAATTATTAATTTAAAAAATATATACTTAAACTATTAAATTCTACGTAAAAAGTGATTTTGAAATGTTTTCATAAAAATACAAAAAAAATTCCATAATAAAATGTTTGTAAATATACGGATAACAAACCTTCTGTTATAAAAACATAAGAGCTGTGTTAGTTTAAGTATGAAAAATACTTTTTAATACCAAAATTGATAATTACTTCTTTTACTTTGTAATTTTTTGTAATATTTTTTTGAATAATAAATAATAGTTTTATAGACTTAATCTATGTTTGAGGATTGTTTTTTCAATTGTTTTTTTAATAACATAATATCAAGCTCTATTTTTTTCTTTTGTAAAATTAAATTTTTAATTTTATATTCTTCTATCTCCATTCGTAACTCGTTAAGTTCTTGCAACCTGCCAACTTCTATCAATAACATGTCTTTTTTTAATTTATTCAATTGTTCTTTTGAAGAATCTGGACACTCACTCCATTTTCGTTTCGGTGCTTTACGTTTTCGATTTTTTACTATTTTTGGCGTGTAGTTCGACCAGTCTGTATAACAATGAACATAAGAATATTGGAAATTAAGAATAAAATATTTTATTACCTTTTTTATCTGTTATTTCCGATGCGGTGTTGCATTCTAGCTCTTGTGGCCTCTTGTTTGATATTAAGGAACTATGTGGTTCCTTTGAAGTGCATTCTTCAATTTGTGATTCATCTTGAACATTTTCTTCAGAAACGATGTCTAAATTGTTCACTTCATTTACATCTTAAAATAATTTAAATGGTATTAATAATAGAAAACATGTATAAAGTTTAAATATAATTCTTACCTGTATGTACAGTTAAATTACTCATTGCTTCACTGTTCCCTTCTGTTGGAGATAAATCCTGTGTTGAATTCATATTTGTTTTGAATTATTTTAAAGAATAAAATAAAAATGCGAAATACGCGAAACGACACCGACAATATCTAAACGCAAAATGACTGAATAACTGGATCCAACATGGCGCCGAAGAACGTGTCAAAAACGTTTCTGATTGGTTGAACTCGGCCAGCAGTACAGCCAACATTGTTTGACTTTCCATTTGTCAACCATAGTACCAACCTCTTGAATCTCAATCGTCGTACATTGGCGAATTTTCTTGAAAATCTATGATAAAATAAAACTATTTAATACCAAAATTGATAATTACTTCTTTTACTTTGTAATGTTTTTCTAATATTTTTTTGAATAATAAATAATATTTTTATAAACTTAATCTATGTTTGAGGATTGTTAATTTTTAGGGTTAATTGTATAAAAATTAAACAACAGAAGATTAATTATTTAATTGTTTGTTTAATAACATTATGTCAAGCTCTGTTTTTTTCTTTTCTAAAATTAAAGTTTCATTTTTTAAAATTAAAGTTTTAATTTTATATTCTTCTATCTCCATTCGTAACTCATGAAGTTCTTGTTCCCTGCCAGCTTGTATCAATAACAAGCCTCTTTTTAATTTAATCAGTTCAACTTTTGAAGAATCTGGACACTTCTCACTCCGTTTTCTTTTCGTAGCTCTCCGTTTTGGCTTCTTCACCATTTTTGACTTATAGTTCGACCAGTCTGTATAACAATAAACGTAAGAATACTGGAAATTAAGAATAAAATATTTTATTACCTTTTTTATCTCTTATTTCCGATGCGGTGTTGCATTCTAGCTCTTGTGGCCTCTTGTTTGATATTAAGGAACTATGTGGTTCCTTTGAAGTGCATTCTTCATTTTGTGATTCATTTTGAACATTTTCTTCAGAAGCGATGTCTAAATTGTTCACTTCATTTACATCTTAAAATAATTTAAATGGTATTAATAATAGAAAACATGTATAAAGTTTAAGTATAATTCTTACCTGTATGTACAGTTAAATTACTCATTGCTTCACTGTCCCCTTCTGTTGGAGATAAATCCTGTGTTGAATTCATATTTGTTTTGAATTATTTTAAAGAATAAAATAAAAATTCGAAACACGCGAGACGACACCGACAATATCTAAACGCAAAATGACTGAATAACTGCTTTCAACATGGCGCCGAAGAACTTGTCAAAAATAAACGTTTCTTATTGGTTGAACTCGGCCAGCAGTACAGCCAACATTGTTTGACTTTCCATTTGTCAACCATAGTACCAACCTCTTGAATCTGAACCGTCTTACATTGGCGAATTTTCTTGAAAATCTATGATAAAATAAAACTATTTAATACCAAAATTGATAATTACTTCTTTTACTTTGTTTTTTTTTCTGATATTTTTTTGAATAATAAATAATAATTTTATAAACTTAATCTATGTTTGAGGATTGTTAATTTTATAAAAATTAAACAACAGAAGATTAATTATTTAATTGTTTGTTTAATAACATTATGTCAAGCTCTATTTTTTTCTTTTCTAAAATTAATGTTTTATTTTTTAAAATTAAAGTTTTAATTTTATATTCTTCTATCTGCATCCGTAACTCGTGAAGTTCTTGTTCCCTGCCGGCTTCTAGCAATAACAAGTCTCTTTTTAATTTATACAATTCAACTTTTGAATAATCTGAACGCTCCGCACTCCGTTTTCTTTTCGTAGCTCTCCGTTTTGGCCTTTTTGCCATTTTTGGCTTATAGTTCGACCTGTCTGTATAACAATAAACATAAGAATATTGAAAATTAAGAATAAAATATTTTATTACCTTTTTTATCTGTTATTTCCGATACGGTGTTGCATTCTAGCTCTTGTGGCCTCTTGTTTGATATTAAGGAACTATGTGGTTCATTTGAAGTACATTCTTCAATTTGTGATCCATCTTGAACATTTTCTTCAGAAGCGATATCTAAATTGTTCACTTCATTTACATCTTAAGATAATTTAACTCTTATTAATAATAGAAAACATGTATACAGTTTAAATATAATTCTTACCTGTATGTTCAATTAAATTACTCATCTTTTCCCTGTCTCCTTCTGTTGAAGGTAAATCCTGTGTTGAATACATTTTTGTTTTGAATAAATTTAAAGAATAAAATATAAATTTGTAACACACGAGACGACACCGACGATATCTAAACGCAAAATGACGGAATGACTGCGTTCAACATGGCGCTGAAGAACTTGTCAAAGATAAACGTTTCTGATTGGCGGAAATCGGCCGGCAGTACAGCCAACATCGTCTGATTCTCGATTTGTCATCAGTAGTACCAACTCTCGTTTATAATAGAGATATATGGCAACGATATGCGGTATAAGGTTTGCACTATTTTGACATTTAACATTACCGCATGCCGCTAATTACGTAGAAGAGAGGCCTTGCGGTATTTTGACATTTTGGACATTATGTTGTTATTTGGACATATTGTCTTTATTAAAAAAATATAAGTCAATGTTAATTAACCTAAAAATCTTAAATATTACAATCAGTTCTGGTACATATTATATTTGAATTTAAGATTTAATATATTATCGGAAAATTATGATTTACAGTTGCTCTTCTAATTCACTTATTTTGAATAATAGGGGATGGAATCCAGAATTACTACTTCAAAATCTTGCTTACTTGTTTGTATATCTCTGTTTATAGTATAATTTAACTAATACTAATAAAATTTATTAACCGAGTACAAACAGACAATGCAGAAATAAAAAGTTAGGATAAGATCGATATTACAGATTGTCAGACTTGTAGAATGAACAAAGTATATACAGGGTGATTCAGATTTTACTAGAATAACTTCAGGTATTGATAGAACTAACCGAAATAATGATAGTTTGTATTATAAACCATACTTCAAAAACGCTTCCGCTTGGAGTAAAATGGCGCTAAAATTTTTCATATGGCATGCTGCTAATTAAGTAACAATTTTCGAACGCAGCTGAGCTATGTCCGGAATTTTGTGGAATATCTCGAAAACTAAGCGACATATCAAAAAAATTTAAGGACAAAAAAAGTTAGTAAAAAGACGGAAGGTATCAGAAAAAAATACAAATTTATCCAGTAGCGTGCGACAAAAAAGTTCGACAAGGTTCCGTGCAGTTGACACTCACAAAAACAACACCCTGTATAGCAAATAATCCAATTTTTTTAACACATATCACCCACGTTGCCCTTAGTATTTAACCAAACACTTGCGTATTTAAATCCTCTGGTTTTCGAGTAATAAAATAAAAACCGAAAAATAATTCATATTTTAGCGCCATTTTACTCCAAGCGGAAGCGTTTTTGGAGTATGGTTTATAATACAAACTATCATTATTTCGGTTAGTTCTATCGATACCTGTAGTTATTCTAGTAAAATGTGAATCACCCTGTATACAGATCACTTACAGATATAATGTGTTCCTCTTTCTTCAGTTATAACTCATCATACAGTTTCAGGGCTGTGACAACAGCCAGTATCTGAGACGGTTAGGTTAGGTTAGGTTAGGTTGGGAAGCAGAACGATTCTGTCCCAGTATCATCACAATACATAAATATTTTAGAATAAGTATGTTTACAATCATCACTAAGTATTTCTTAATTATTTTTTCAGGACATTTACGCTTATGATTCTGGTAGCAATACCAGTTCAAGTCGGTCTAGGGGGCCCTTCGTTCAAATCCGAGGTCACAGAGACTCACCTCTATCTGTCAGCGTAATCAATACACCATTGGCGGCGGACGACGATGGGGAAAAGAAACTGCCAAAAAACAAGAAATACCATGACGATAGCGAATATAGGTGAGTGAAACATCTCATAGTGTTTTCTGAATTCTAAATTTGGTGTGTTACAATTTTTCAGGCATAAAGTGAGGTCCAAAGGTCTCCATTGCAGTACGCTGAGTACAAAGTACGATGCTGAGAGGAAAGACGCTAGTTGGATATGCGCGTTTTGTAAGAGGGGACCTCATGCCAGTGAATTTACAGGTACGTACCTACTATATCTGCCATTGATATTGTTGACAGATATCAAAGCAACCTAAATTCCTATTTAAATATTAAACATCAAAGGTAGAGATAGTAAAGTCTGAATTTAAATGTTATTTCTACGCCTACTCTGATGCCATTTTATAGAGATTTGTGTGTTGTATTTCTGCAAAAAAATATTCTAATATTGTAATTAATACCTAATCTGTTGAGCCATCATTCAACGTTACGTCATTATTATTTGTCAAATATGCGTTTAGGGTGTGTCTGAGATCAGTTCAAATTAGTAATTGAGTGAGTACCGTTTTTTTTAATTCAAGAAGACATGGCAACATCCGATACAAAGTCAAATTCACGTATCTAAATTCTTTGATATCTAATCTTTGACAAGTAGTAAATAAAAACAAAAATGCAAGAAAAAATATATAATTACTTAATTTTAAGTGAACTTCATAAATGATCGGTTTACTACACGTATGTATATTATATTGACTACAATTTCTTTCTTCCAACTTCCTTCAAAAACACAAAACGGTAGTAAATCTATCGTTTTTTGTTTGAATAAATAATAAATAATATAAAGTAAGCTCAGTAAAGACTGACAAACCCACAAAATTGCAAATCAAATTTAAATGTGTCAAATGAATCGTTAAACAGAACTGTCAAGGATCCCCACCCTAGGACCCTTTGTCCGTCTACCTTGCATGAATACATGTATAGCATTATACTCCGTCCTTAATATTTTTATTCAAAGCTAAACGAAAATTTGACAGTGATCAATGTCTGTCAATAAAATTATAACCCCACATCAAATGACAATGACAATTACTAAAAACAAAATGCAGTAATTTATGAAATGCCGTAATGATGTCACCAATCTGTTTCATCTGGTTGTCAAGTGTGTCAATATATGACAGAACGATGGCTGAACATTCTATATTTACAATTTGTCTTTATTTGAAGGTCCCAGTGCAGTTAGTGAGGGTCCAGCTCCTGGCGATTTATTTGGACCTTACTTCATAACGACGCAGTGTCCGGAGTTTGAAAGGCGGTTAGACGATCCGTATGATAGGTATGTTTCTTATTTTCTATGATAAATCATATACATAGATATTTATATCTGATTGTACAAAACGAAGGCGTTCAAGATATACAAACCATATGTAAATAGAAAAATACTAGGTTGAAGAAGATTTTTTGCCACACTTTTTTTATTTAAACATGTTTAGACCCTTATCTATTGATATAAATATTTTTGACAGTAGCGCCGCACGGTGGAGTATTAGCATGAAAAAGGTAATCGAAATTCGAAAAAGCAAATGTGTTTAAGATTTCCCAAAAAAAGATAAATGATAAGTTAAATCATGTCTGCCATGAATGGCGTTGCTATGGGTGTATTTAGTTGCATTCATTTGTTTCAACAAAACGTCAAAGTTGTTACTTCTCACAGATAAGAGGTAAATGGCTAAATTTTATGTTTAAAATTATAAATTGTTGTTATTCTTGTGCTCCTTTTACGTTTATATTATTGTTTTGATTGAAAATGGCTCAGCAAGCTGCAGGTATGCATTCTACAAAAACATTATTTATTTTGATATTCTCTATACTAACAATTTTTTTTGCAACTAAAAGTTAGGCGTTCAGAAAATTTGATTAAATTTGTGACATTTTTATTATACTTAGAGATTTAGTAGCGCATTTCGAAGAATTCAGCATATTGTCTATATACGTTTTACTTAGTAAACATTGGGTTTTCATACAGTAAAATAAAATACTGCGACTTTTTGCGACTTTGCTGATAAAATGAGAAAAACATTCTTGGTTTCCTCTAATTTGCAAATCAGTGATATACTAATGCGAGGTGTAAACCGCGATGGCATTGTTCTGTACAAAGCGATCGCATTAGTGCCATTAGCAGTATAGCACAATTTGGCATTAGTAGCGGCTTTAGTGGTATGGGCATTGGTCGCGGATCAGTCGTAGCATTAGTAGTATTAGTTGCGATATTCCTACTGGCATTAGTGGCACTGACCGTGGAAACACCGGAACAGTGATTTTTCTTTCTTTTTTTTTAGAATCGGCGAATTATCCTTTATTTTGTTCATATTATTTCCTCTTTAATTGAAAATAGCAATAATTTATATAAGGTCTAAGAAAAAAAAAATTCGATCAACTATCGGGGTCAAATACCCCACTGTACGCCGGTCCGTGGGCATATGGTGTCTGGATCATATGGATAATATTGTTATAATTTTATTATACTAGCTTTTTCCCGCAACTTCGTCCGCGTACACCTCGAATAATTGTCCATGCATTTTTTTAAATGATAGTTTACCTTTTTATGGATACATCTAGTGAGCCTCACAATTTAAACTGTTTCGAAAATTAATAGCGTTGATTGAAGAAATGAGAAGATGGGCGATTTCGTAGCACAAAACCTGTCCGAGGTGTAGCTGCCGTTACCGTCAGCCTGTCCGACAATTCCGAGATTTAGTTTAGCTCTGCACCGCTGCGCGCTGAGTCGTTTACAGCGCAGCGGAAAAAAGAATACTATACAGTGGTTCTGCTTTCAGTCGACAAAGTAAGATTGGATAGAGGTTGCAGTTGGTGCAGTGGATTTTCTATCCTTAAACAATTTAATGTAATATTATATGATTAAACAAAGAATGGCAACAGAGTTGACTTGGAAATGAAGATCGCTGTTATTTCATATGTAAAATATTATGGTAAATGTCATAATCGTCATTTCCAAGCCAACTAAACGACTTTTTTCGATCATACGACATATTCAGTACCTATAAAAAAATATTTTTGTTTATTCTGTTTTACACAAATAAATTTGCAATACATAAACGCGGATTTTTCATCCAAAGATATTTTCGTCAAACATATTACAGATATTACACATTTTAATATGGCAACACTGTCACTTTCAGGTCCACACCGTCTTCGATATGCCTTCGCTGGCCGAATTAGAGAAAATAAGTGATTTATGCGTTGACAGCAGAACGATTGGTGTCTCCACCGTACAGCACTTGAAATCAAATCAGTGTGAAAAACTTGTCACGAATACGCCCATTAGCTTGAGTATCTTCCCAATTCTTTTAGTTAATGTTTTAGAGCTATTTCAGATGAAACTTTTCAATTGTCGATTTTCTGGGTATTGTATAACCTTTCAAAAAAATGTATTTATTCCATTTTTTGTACATTTTTGTCTTAAAATTTATAGAAACCGTCAAACCCTGTCAACAATTATATAATTATGTTTCCGCGTTAAAATTACTTAGTCTTGTTTTCATTATATAAACTTTTTTCAGACAATTCAAAAGCCGCAAGATCACCAAAGCCCTGGACGCGAACGCTGCCTCCGCCGGCCCCAAATCCAACAAGAAGGCCAAACGGAAATCGGAATCGTGCAGCGCCGACCAGTCCGACTCGAACCTGGGCATCACGCCCACCGCCAAGGGCGACACGTTCGAGGTGTGGGCGCACGAGGACTGCCTCGTGTGGAGCGCCGGCGTCTACCTGGTGGGCCCCAAGATCGCCGGCCTCGAGGAGGCCGTGTGGACGTGTTCGAACGTGCCGTGCGCGGCGTGCGGCTACAGGGGCGCCAACGTGGCCTGCCTGAGGCGCGGCTGCACCGACTCGGCGCACCTGTGCTGCGCGCGGCGCGCCCTCTGGCAGCTGGACGAGGCGAGTTTCAACGCGTACTGTCCGACGCACGCGCGCTAATCGTACTCTGTGGTTTCGTGAGATTTGAAAGGGGTTGGGATGTGGAAATTGTGGTGAATTTTGAGGGAGGCAAGTTGGGTTTTAGTCGGTTGTTAACGTCAGAGGATAATAATTATTGGAAAAGCTAACTCTGTTGAAGTTTACAGAATATAACTTGGACTGTGGTGATTGTAGTTACAGTCGCTACTGTAAGTTGACATTTTAACGATAGACTGAGCAAAAAAAAAACTAAATGTATGCATTTGGTAATCTGAAAATAACTAGAAAAGTAACCAAAAGTTGAAAAATATTTGTCCGGGTCTATCATCTGCAAGTATAAGAAAAGTTGCAGGAATTTGCTAGAATGATCACGCGTTATAGGAAAAGTTGCTGCTTTGAGGGAGAGCATGCACAACTTTTCTTGCAAAATGTAAAAAATTAGACCAAAGTGATTACATTTATGAATAACTTTCTCATTTATCGAGATGGCATCATGAAGTTTATATCTGTACGGGAACTTATTTGCGCTATATTCAAAATTCGGTCAGGAAACTGATTTTTTAGACACTTATTACTTTAAATGTCAAGTTTTTAATCTAAACCAAAGCAAAGATTATCGCCGAAGCCTTTTATAACAGAACTGATCAAACAGAACAAATGCCGCTGTGTGAATACGCGGAATCGTATCCCATGATCACTTAAAATCAGTGTTAAAGCGTCATACGTTCTACAAACAGCTTTTTCGTGAAGATGAGACTCCAGAACTGTCAAATAGGATAAAGGAAGAAGATGATGACACCTACATGTGTTGAGGTTATACTAAAACAGTATTTCTAAAAATCTCTAAAACAGTATTTCTAAAAATCTGACTAGAATGTAGAATGTTTAGAAGGGGAGTTAATCACCGCGACCTTATAGATCTATTGTGTGTTCCCCTTTCTTGAGTTATAACGAGTTATAACTCATCATACAGTCTCAGGGCTTTAAGAAAAGCCAGTATCTGAGACGGCTCCACAGAGGCCAGCTCTCCATCCTAGTGATGGGCAAAACTGTTATTTTTAGATAACAGTTGAAACTGTTATACTTATTTATAAAAAACAGCTTAAAATAACAGCTTAAAAATAACAGGTTTCTTTATTTTATTGCTAAATATCTGAAAGAATATGAGGCGGTCACCGCCAGGCGTATTAACGCAGTTGCAACAATGACGTGCTCGGTGGTAGTATTTCCAGGGTGTCATAACATTTCTAAATATCGATTGTTATCTAAAATACCTCTCTAAAAACGGGGGTTGTTTACAAATAAGCGCTGTTTACAAATTGCGATATAAAAAAGCCAAAATGCCGCCACTCGTCTATATCTATAAATTCCGATCTACCTACGCCCTACCCCTCGATCCGCGTAGATTCTGAATTGCGTAGCAGTGTACAGGGTGCATCTCACTCGACGGGCGAGAAGCTCTTCGTTATGATTTTACCATTTGCGGTCAAAAAATAGCAATATAAGAAAATGTGTAGTATATTCTTCATAAGTAAACCAACTACACACTAGAGTTCGAATTAATTTTACACTTAAACTAGCATGTACAGTTTGACAAATATAGGAAGAGACTTGGGGATAGCACCGGTCGCGCACACGATAGAGAGAGAACGCATTCGGCGGAAGAGAGATGCAGTTACGCTACGAAAAATCTGATTGAAGCAAATTTGTGGGATGTCCACTGCGCATCGGGGGGCGTCTCTTATTTTATATTTCTCACGTCTCTAGCTATACTTGTTAAGTTGTACCCGCGACTTCGTTCGCATCGAATTATTAATTTGTAATGGTGATGATAAAGCAAAGCAAGAATTTCCATTAACATACAAACTGGATAAAATTTTCTCACATTTGCCAAAAATATGCTTTAAACGTCGAGCAGTTTAAGCAGAATCGTGGTTAATCAATTACTCAACTTTTTGGAACACCCTGTATTATTTTTTAAAAAATTTCAAAATATGTAAAAAAACAAAATAAATTATGCGTGTCCAATCGTTTTCCCGAAAGACTAACCGTTTTTTAAATAATAAATATTGTAATATTTGAGGGGCGTTTTCACCCTCTTGGAATTTGAGATTCGAGAAACCCCTCCTTATCGCACCTCTACACCCCACAGTCAATCCGTTTACCAAAAATCAGCTTTAAACGTCAAGCAGTTTAAGCAGAATAGTGATTACTCAGTGGTCATATTTTATGAAACACCCTGTATATATTTTGTAAAAATCTCAAAATATGTAAAACAACAAAATAAAATATACGTGTTTAAGAGTTTTTTCGAAAAACTCACCAGTTTTTAAATAAAAAATATTCTAATATTTGAGGGTGGTTTCACCCCCTTAGAATTTGAGTTTCGAAAAATCCCTTCTTATCGCACCTCTACACCCTAAAGTCAATCCGTTTTCCAAAAATCAGCTTTTTACGTCAAGGGCTTTAAGCAGGATCGTGATTAATCAATGACCAGATTTTTCAAAACACCCTGTATACATTTTTAAAAAATCTTAAAATATTATTCTGAAAATTTTTCAGAATAAATAAATACTTAAATATTGAAACTTAATAACAAAGTATTGAAACATACAGCGCCATAATATCTCGACCTCCGCCCGTTATGCTCGTAACAGGTTGAAAAACAATATGTATCTAAAACAACTGATGCGTTATTCTCCAACCTGTTTCAAACCTCCGATTATCTCGAACGCCGTTCTGTTATGCTCGTAACAGGTAAAAAAACAACATAGCTAAAACAACTGATGCGTTATTCTCCAACCCGTTGCGAGCCTCCATCGACAATCGACCGATGCAGCAGCGCTCCTTTCCCACTCCTGTTATCTCGACAGCCAGGCGTTATGCCCGCAACTGTTTCAAAAAAGCTGCTTCTTTTATATCCTATTATTTTTAAGCTGTTGTCAGCCCAACACGACGCGCCGCGCCGTAGCGCATACCCCACTCCGTTGTCCGTTGTATCTCGCCGCCTGTATCGATGGTTGTCGAAATAAATAGGTTTTCCATCCATACACGTACATAGTTTTTTGGAATTGCTTCGAGCAGCATCGAATTTCGTGGCGGTGCAGAGCGCCGACTTCGTTTCACGAACACTCGATCTCTGCGTGTCGTTATTTTATATCTGTTATTTTTTAAAAGCAGTAACGGTTGCGTTATGTTATTTCTAAATAATTGTTATAAAATAACAGATAGTTAAATAACAACCCATCACTACTCCATCCTCGACATCAGACGTGCCAAGGTTCATGGCACGAATGGTCGTCGTCTCGGCGCACTCAGACGATTGCGCCGAGAAAAAAAATCTGACTAAGAATAAACAGAAACAACCAATTTAAATTTATCATCAAACAGGAGGATGAGGTTTTCAGACAAGGTGTTTGCGTTAAAATTTGCCAAAACTTAGGCCATAAATGCGATATTTCCGGCCAGATTATGCTGGTTTACCGTACGTATAACAATTATTATCAATCAGCAGAGACGGAGTGCCAATCGCGGATTCCTTCATATCATCAGGATATCATCCGCTTGTTGCTGCGCCTACAAAAGAAACTTTGGCTTCGTTCAGATGATTCAGGCAGAAGTTCCATCCGTATCTTTTGTATACAATCCGTTATATCCAATCTTTCGTACGCATCAAAGGTCTTTTTGACACTCTGCCCACACAGTCAAGAATTGGCGCCCAACGTGGGGCTTCAAAATAAGCGTACCAGATATCTTAGGTTACATGCCTGACTTATGTCCTCTTGGTTTAAATCCCAACGGATTATGCAAATTAACACAGTAAAATACGATGAGAACTATAACCCAGACTTGACAATCGACAAGTACGACGATAGTATCAATGTTGCCAACTAGAAAAAAAATTAAAACTAGGCAAAGTAGCTTAGTAGTAAAACTACCAGAGTTTGAAGAAATGATCAAATCCTTGCAATTATATACCAAATACCTTAGATCATATAAAAAAAAACATATAACAAATTAAAAACTTTAAAATTTGAACATGTTTTGAGACCTAAGTCATATTCTGTAAACTTCGATGGCTTTGAAATGATATTTAAACTATTGGTAAAATACAATATGGCATAGAGAATTATGTGAACCTTTGTTGGATTAAAGTCTGTTATATATCCAGTTATTATTGCATTTTTGTTATGAAATAAAGAAACGTATTCATTATCATAACTCACTTTTTTATAGATTAAGTCTTTTTAGAATGCCTTATTGTTTCAATATCGCCTGTTAATATGATAGGAATGATAATCATATATGTTGATGTGTGGATATGAGACAACCCCAAGAAATTATGTTTATTATTATTTTATGCAAATAAGTTACATATTTGTAGATATAAATAATATTGACGATGTTCTTATGTTCTGTTATCTTGATTATTAGTGTTTTTATTTGTTCTAAAAAATAAGACATATTGATTTAAACTCAAATTTGTCTAAATATGATGATGAAAGGTGATGTTTATTTCAAACTGTATGTATTTTTTCATCAGTATTAGTACGCGTACACATAATTCTAGCATGCTAAAAAGTACATGTATTTACTAGTATATTTTTCATAATCACTTGCCTCCTCGTTTGGTAGACTTTGTAGTTAATTTATTACAAGGGTAATACTCACGATTTTTTAAAATTTCTATGTTTCTGTTAAACTTGATAGGATTATCAAAGAAAATGCAAGCATAAATCATTTTTTTTAATTCACTTTGATTAAAACTTTAGAGATCCCTTTAATAATTAATGTTTTTATGTAGTACAGTGATAATAATTTGTGATAAAAGACAATTATGCTTTCTAAGGAAGCACTTCTATATTTTAGTTTTTAACAGATAGTTCAGAGATATGGAACAACAGATATAGTGTCATAATAAGCTTCTATACTCTAATAACGTTCCCGCATGTCGCTATTTAACTTTATGTTGTCAATTGAAATACTGTATTTATCAAAAAAATATACAGGGCGAGTCTTATATAAGTGCAGATATTTTCAGGGCTGGTAGATCTCAATAAAAGAAACATATTTTCTCTCAAAAAAATATATTTTTTGCTAAAATTTTGAGAACCACTGGATCTTTTCTGGATTTTCTTTCTTGTAAATATAATTTATTACCTATGTTGTCATATTGTCAAGAAATTATGTTTTTATCAAAAAACTGAAAAAAAATCAAAATTTTTTTCAAAAATTTCCATATTTTTAATTGTTTTTTCACGAAAAAACTTGATAATCGTGATTTTGGCGTCGAAATATTCTACCCTGTATAAATAAATGTTACTTAACATAAAATGTACTTTTATCTTAAATTTATTATCTTTATTTTTTAAGATTTAATATGTTCTTATCGGCAAATCATGAAATACACTTGCTCTTCTGATTCACTTATTCTAAATAATATTGGGATTGCCATATCTTTCTAGTTTTATTTACACTTTTTATGAAATTGCATCCATTCTTAAATAATTTATTGGGCTGAATCAATTTTAATTGTTTTAATGCCTGTTTTTTTTTCGTTAAAAAAATTTGTTTATACGTTTATAATCTTTTTGAAATATTTTTTTTTAACTAATATATTTTTTTTTTAACTAATATTTTTTTTTTAACTAGTACAAAATCTACATTCCCGACCCCTGGAATTAATTTATTATTGGTATATATCATTGTATGAATTATTATACCAGAATCGGTCTAAAAACATAGTTAAATAGTCGTACTTGCAGTACTCTGACTATTTTTCTATGCCGTTTGGACGGTATTGTAAATAACAAAATAAAGTTGTAGTTGTTCGTTGAAATATTATAACTTTTGGACAATTTTAAAAAAAGATATTGTGATGATTTTTATTGTTAATGACATAGTTGTGACTGGTAATTACATAGTCCTGCAAAAGTTACAATCTTAAGTATTTTACTTCGAAAAAAA